TCTAGGAAGGCAACACGAACAAATTTAGCCCCCTTGTCTAGACTGGAAGCAATGTTATGATATAAGACGGCAGCTGCATCTAAAGTGCTTCTACTGTGCTTATAGGCAAATTGTTTAGGGTCATTAAAGGATTTAAGCGAAGGTACAAGACTAAGTAAAAGTAATTTCTCCATAGTTTTCAAAAAAGGAGAGGTAATAGCAATGGGTCTAAATTTGACACATGCTCCAGTAGATGATTTAGGTATGGGTACAACTTTAATGTCCTTCCAAACGGCAGGCACAATATTATCGGAAAAAGATTTGTTAAATAGATCAGTAAGAGGGTGACACAGAATATCAGAACATTTTTAAAAAATAATACTAGGTACATAATCGGGACCTAAGCTCTGGGAAGGGTTTAGAGACTTGAGGCACTTTTGAACATCATTTGTGTTAAAACCTGGAAAGGGGCTATTATTAACACAAGTGATGCTGGGAAGCATGGCATTTGAGGGAGAGTAAATAAAAGATTTGTTAAGAGTACATACATCAAAAGAATATGGAATATTGTTTATCTGCTTACCACCAGTGATTTCCTTAAATAGTTTCCACATATTAGAAGGATTTTTGCAGGATATGAATTTCTGGTTATATATTACATTCAACCTCTGCATTTCAGACTTAATTAAGAAGTTAGTTCTTTTTACACCACTTTTATGTTTCATCTTATATAGTTTTTCCTTCCCTCTACGAAGCTTTTTAATAATAATAATATTAACAGCTTTATTCCAAACGGTATTTGTGGTACAGGTATGCAATTTTCAGCGTGCATTACAATATATTGCATCTAATTACCACATAAATTTTATAAGATTTTTAAAAATCAGAAAAATAAATAAAAAAACCAACGCCAAAAAATAATAAAAGATAAATAAAAATAAAAAACAGCGTAGCGTTTACATTTCAAACAATGCAACACAGGATATGAAATATAAAGTTGATGTGTGATAGAAGATGAGAACAACAGTGTTATAGTAACGAGGAAAGGAAAACAAAAACTAATGGGGCTATTTGTTAGACTGGCTCAGTAAATTGATCGTATCATACCTAACGGATTTCTCATCACATAACAGTTGTGCCAGATATGGTATTGTGGAGATTTGTATTTGGTAGTCCTAGCATATAGTCTCCTATAGCTGCTTCTAGTTCTAACAGATGAAATGCAAGGAGAGAGCTGTGTATAGAGAGGATGCTCGCGGTCTGACAATATTATATTAGCTAGTTTCTTACATGACATTATATGTCTATCCACAATAGTATTAACCAGTTGGTTTAACGATATCCCACTTACCCTACTAACGGATTTTAGTGCCTGCCCTTCTCAGCAAAGCAAAGTCTTTCTTAAGTAGTCCAGGAAAGATTAATGGGGAGCAGTAAAGAGGGATGGGTAGAATACAAGAATTGACAAACTGAGAAAGCAAAGACTGCTTTATACCAGATTGCCTAAATTTCCTAATGTAGAACATTAAGCGAAACATCTTTCTAGTAACTAGCAAGATGTGGGAAGACCAGGAAAGATCGGTGGAAAAACTCAGCCCAAGGTACTTGACATTAGATGTATTTTCAACCTCTGTGCCGTCAATGATAGTGGGGCCATGTGAGTCAACCAGTTGTTGTAGGTCACGTTTACGTCTGAAAGTGAAATCGACTACCTGGCATTTAGACGGATTCAGCTTAAGACCGTTTTAAGAGGACCACTGACTAATTTCAGACAGAAAGTTATCTAATTTGGAAGTTGAGGCCAGGAGATACAGTCAAATTTGACAGCAAATTTCAAAACAGAATTTCAGATGGGATGTAATATTAGAGATATTGTCATCAAGTGAATCATCATTAAAAAAATCCCATCTTGTGTCACTAAGCATGTTTCTAAGATGATGTACGTTCTCATTTGAGTAACATCTGTGAACAACTTTCTTAGACAAGTGTGAGAAGGCTTTACTGTGTAACTCTCCGTAAATTTTCGGTAAGACTCGTACAATACAATGATCAGAATTGAAGAGCGGAGCTCTTTTACGAGCTTCGTATATTCCAGAATCATTTATAAATACTAAATCAAGTGGAAGTATATTGTCGAGTTGGAAAATTAACAACATTTTCATGGCCCAGCAATGTAATAAAACTGCGACCCCTGGAGTTGAAGTCGCCAGTCACTATAGATAAGGAGTTACCAAACGAAGCAGCAGCAAAAATGGTGAATTCATCAGCGAAGATCGATAGTTCTGAGGGACTGCAACGAGGTGTGATACAGATATTTGTGACAAAAATGAAGCTGTACTTATGTAAGTGTTTAGGTCGACATTTGACAGTTATACAATCAATATTGTCATTTGAGAATTTCAAGCAGACGTTGTTGGCAGTAGACCACTGAGACCTCTCTTCTTCTTTGAGCTGCATCGGTCTTGTCTGTACATTCTGAAACCACTTAAGGAGACTAAATTATCGTCATATGAGTCGTAGAGCCAAGCTTCTTGAAGAGTTATTACACCAGCATTACAATATACATTTGAGTATAATAGAGAATGCAAGTAGGTAATCTTGTTCGATAATGACCTTCAATGGAGGAACTAAGACTATAATCAACATTCTTATAGAGAGAAATGGTTTATTTCTTAATCACATAATTCAGACAATACGTTTGACTGAAGTGATGGAATAGAATTAGTCGAATACTATCTGATGAATGAATTTTTCTCGGCTTCTAACTGTGATCTCACTTTCAGTATGCATTCACATTTAGATGGCCAGAAAAGATCAGCAACAGGGTGGGATCTCTAGCAATGAGCGAACCAACCAACACAGCAGGAACCAAGTGTGAAACAAATAAGCAGGAAGAAATGGAGATGGATTGGATTGTGGCCATACTCTGAGGAAACCATGAAGTGAGTGACATCACTAGACAAGCCATCGCTCGAGTGGAACCAGGCCGAAAGGGAAGCGGGTGGCGAGTTGGTCGTGAGTGCATGGGTGAGGGTGACTTGGAGGAGGTCATGTGAGGAGGAGATGAAAGCATGTGGTCAGACTTGGAGCGGAGTGAAAAAGTTGTCAGAAAACAGAAGGCAGTATATACTTGTGCAGCTGAAGCCGTATGTTCCTCTAGGAATTAAAGGGATACAATAATAATAATACATTCACATTCAGAATCCAGCAAACACCAAAGATAAAGTATTAAACAAAAGTCCACATTAAAAGTAAATCATGCTCACTTTATAGAAAGTCCTGTGTGTCAGTGTATCCCTTGCTTCACACATCAATACTGACCAATGTACACAGTTTTCAGTCATTTTAAATACTGTCACTTAAATAAAAATTAGACCCTTTATGTTTATTATTATTTCTTTGGATACCAAGTGAAACGTAGGGCTGCAAACGCGCATATTCACTTTAACCTGTTCCCTTCAGCGCTGTTTACCTGGCCCCATAATTATCTATGATCTCTCAAATTTGCACCTGTCACGACCTCCTCCATGTCACCTACGGATCAACGCCCAACTAGTCGTTCTCCATTCACGTTCCACTCGGGAGCCTTATACGCGATGCCACTCAACTGTCTCCTCAGTGTGTGTCCAATCAGTCTCTATTTCTTAGACATCCTCATTCTTGACGTTTGTAGTTGAAACAATACTTCCTAGATAAGTGGAAGAAATAACTTCTTTCAAGTTTTTGGTTGTTATTGTTAGTTGTAATTATCTTCCTCACCTTCGTCTTCTCTATATCCACTTGAAGTTCACACTTTTGCTGCTTCTCCAACCAACTTGTTAGTTTTCATGTGTAAGTCTTCGAGTTTGTAGGACATTAGATATATATGGTCTGTGAAGTCAAGATCTTTTAATCTTAATGATGTTTTGTATGACTGTTAACCTTTGTTTTGATAATTCTAAACACATACAGTCGCAGGAAAGCTAACTTCATGTAAAATATCGATTGTAGATATTATTTATTTTATATAATTTGCGATAATGAGTTCGATGAATAAAATTTACGTTAGCACTCACCGGAAAAATGGTACTTAATTGTGAGAGGCGTTTGAAACAAAAACAGCTTAAGAAGAATCCAAGAAACCAACATATACCAAATAGGACAGGATTTCGCTGACCTGATATTTCATACTATTCACAAGATTCGTGTATTATTTCACTGATGCTTTTCACAGTATTTTCGTAAATAGACTTGACGAGAATGAATCATATTCGATGTCTTCAGATCAAACGCCTCACTTCCAAAGTGGATTATAGTATTTAGCATTTCTGTTCTTAGAGCTGAAAATAATTTTGACTCCATGCAAATATTTGTTGTGAAGACCTCTACAAACTTCGTTTCATGTGACTATAGACGCACAGAATACTATTATGGGCTATTCTTTCTTATACATAGACGGTTTTCTTTTAAAATGACTCTCTTGTGCGTCGGTGGCACAGTAGTTAGCACTCTCGCCGACCATGCACATGGTCCGGGGTTTGAGCTCACGCCGACACATACCTGATATCTATGGTCGGCCTGCGAAATTCTAGCTACCGATATCCATACTGAAAATTCCATACTTGTACCAAAAATACAGTGTGGAATCAAGCTGTAATCAAAAATAAAAAAAATAAAAAAATACTATAAAAACAATTTAGGTTCAGTCACAGCATGTTTAGAAAACCAAAAGAAAATTTCCCTGGATGCTTTCCCATGTAAGCCATAGCTTCTTCAACAGAACCCCTTGGATTTTACTAGACACTATATATGTATCACTATCTTTGAGTAACTGTCCTAACGCCTATTTTGACGGAGACCACCGAAATCAGCTGAAAAAGATTAACGCAAGGAGAATTACCTTACTTCCGTTTAACAATTCCTTAGTACTGTTATTTAGTCCCTCTGCTTATTTCCATGAGATCATCTCCTTATGATGACTGGAAGATCAGTTATTGTAAGAAAGTTAAACATTCGTCTGTTTAATTTCATTCCATTTTCAGAATAAACCTGGACAGTGCAATGAGTATAACAATCAGATTTTACTAACTGGACTTTGTGCTTCTCCTTGTGAACCACAACACTCACCTCCAACCCCAACACCATTTATAGCCACAATACCAATTCATCGTGTAACACAGCAGCAGCAGCAGCAACAACAACAACAGTGTAAACTGGAAATCGCAAGTCGCGAATTTTCATCCTGCGATGTAAGTGATGCCAAATTCATATTTAAATTGCTTCTTATTCAGAAATGTATTATTTATAGGTTTTCAAAATTCCTAACACTGAGATTCTCGATGAAACGCCAGCAGTTAACTTCTGTTGATGGCGATTAGAAGACTGTTTGTTGCCTCAAAACTGAAGCATTACAAACACACACTAAAACGACGCGACTATTCGATGCGTTTTGCTGTTATATCAATGAAACAAATAATGCCAGTACAAACTCCGTCTCTCTCTCTAAGTCAAGAAATATTTTTTGGCGTCTGAAAGTGCCATCCATTTACGCATGTCTTTGGACCTCGTGGAAATCAAACACCTAGACCGAGAACTATCAACTATATATAGTCAGATGTACTCTATTTTCTTCATAATTTTTGTTTTGTGAGTCACTCAGAACCTCAGAGACTATAATTTAAAATATATTTCAGCAGTGGTTTACACAAAAGCCCCTTCCATACCATTTTTGAAAACTGGGAAGACACTAATGATTTAATTTGGAAAAACGCATTATATTTTTACTAACATATCCAAGGTAATCAACCTTGTAGTAATTTTAATGCGAAGCTTAGACACAAAGTCGCCGTGCACTTTTTGGAGCAATGAAGATTTATGTCTGAGAATGGTATTTTCGGTCTCATTGTGTTCTGTTACGTGAGTCAATTATAATACCTATGACCCTCCATCTAGATAACGTCTTCAGGGATAATTTGAAAGTGAACTAAGCAATCGTTACTTCCGATGACTTTGACCTCAGTTACATGTCCCAAAGGATTCACTAATTACTGTGTTTACTTGCTTGTGTAATCGTCGTCCCATTGACCTGATTTTTTCGTCTCTAGATCTTTTGACTCGTGTATTATTCAATGATAAATTTGATCTGTATCAGAAAGTCTGTTGATTGCCGAACGACTTGTGTATCAGGCTTCTAGGAATCTCTCTGGGATTCTTCATGTTTCCTCAGTTTAGAACTTATATGCATTTTTTAGTAGATTTCGTATCCGTAGTTATTCATGTTCATTGACACGGAATACATGTCATGTCCTTAGACGGCTTATCTGTGTGATCGTCGGTTTATTGTGTTACTGCTTTTTCTAACAGAAATATAACACTTATCGGGAAAAGCATATGGAAAGTTCTGATACATAAATAACCATATAATGCTCCACTTCTGACAATGATGTGAACCCAAGAGGTAACCAGATTTTAGTTATGGTACTCTCTAAAGCCTTGCAGAGCAAGTCTAAGTGAAGTGGATGGCTCAGTTAAGCAGCTAGTTTAAAATGCACTACCTTATAATAGATCTCATAGTCTCAGAAAGAGAGAAGTGCAGTGGAGTAAAGACTCTTTCTAAATGGATAAGCAGACATTAACTGACGCTGTTAATGGAAAGTAATTTAGATTTGCGAAAACATTCGTTTATCTATAGCATAACTAGAAACTAGTATATATTACTCTATATTTATGCAAAGCTTAATGAGGATATTAAGAAAATAGTTTCTTCGAAGTAAATTCTCACCGGAGTTAAATCAAAATGAGTAACTATCTTTACCAAAAAGACACACACACACACACATACATATGTCTCATACAACTGATCCCAAAATAAAGGTGCGAAAGATTCACTTATACAACGAAACTGTAATGGGGAAAAGTGAAGATATGAAGTCTAAACAAATATTCTTGGATATATAGTTAAAACTGCATCAGTAAAATCATTATCATTTTGTCTTTAGAGATACAATATGGTGAACAGAATTTATATATATATATATCTGATGAAAAGGATTCATATAGTGATGAATAACAAAGACGTGCTGTTAAACTATCTTAATGCATAGGAACACGAACATACTGAAATCTGGTCACAGTTATTTTGCTTTTTCTATAAAAACCTTACAAATTTCCCTATTTTGTCATATACATTTAATTTTTTATTCTCTTGCTTATTTTCGAACTGCTATTCGCGGTTCTGCTTATTCGTTTGTGCACTGGTTCACCAAAACCTTTCAACATTGTATATTTGCCACTTAGAATTGAATTTCATTGGGAAACACTACTTCTTAAAATAAGTCGTTGCTGGTTATTGAATGAACCTACTGTGTACTAATTATTGTACTAAGTGTAGTGTTATAACGAGAGAAGACAAGGGCTAGGCTACAGATCGTTTATTCAGAAAATCAAGAGATATTCACATTCAAAACACTTGGAGGATCCAGACTTCGCCGATGATGACATATGTCTGATTTCCCACAAACTAGAAAATATGCAGGTGAAAAGCAACAAGCTGGCAGAAAAAGCATCCAGAGAGGATAGGACTTCAAGTGAACATAGAGGAAACAGATGTAGGTGATGAAGATTCCTGGCCAACACCAACAACAATAACAACAACAACAAAACACAACAATCAGCCAGCATAAATGGGAGGAACGTGAAAGAAACAACCTCCTTCACCTACCCACCTACCTACATGGGAAGCATCGTTTCAACTACAGGCCGACGGAGCTGACGAGGATATCAAAGCCGGAGTCGGAAAAACAAGACAAGCCTGCATTACCCCTCAGTCTGCGTGGAGGACAACATCACTCACTGGTCAGCATCAAAAATAAGATCCTGATTTTCAACTCGAATGTGAAGCCAGTCAGTGCTACTTATTATACGGATCAGAGACTTGGCCAGCGCGTCATGAAGAGCATCTCAAACAACCTACAGATCTTCATTAACAGTTGTCTTCGCTCAATACCACTCAAGATCAGATGATCGGCCAGAAAAGATCAGGAACAGGGAGGGATCTCTGGCAGTGAGCGAACCAACCAACGGAGCAGGAACCGATTGTGAAACAAATAGGCAGGAAGAAATGGAGACGGATTGGCTGGCCATACTCTGAGAAAACCATCAAGTGAGTGAAATCACTAGACAAGCCATTTTTCTCGAGTGGAACCAGGCCGAAAGGGAAGCGGGTGGCGAGTTGGTCGTGAGTGCATGGTTGAGGGTGACTTGGAGGAGGTCATGTGAGGAGGAGATGAAAGCATGTGGTCAGACTTGGGGCGGAGTGAAAAAGGTGTCAGAAAAGAGAAGGCAATGGAGACTTGTGCAGCTGATGCCGTATGTTCCTCTAGGAATTAAAGGATATAATAATTATTATTATCCGTTATTATTAGCAGCAGAGAAACAGCGTCTTCTGATTAGTTGTTTTCTCGCTTTCTTTTATCTCTTTGTTGCTGTTTCTTAGATGGTTAATAATAATAATAATAATAATTTTTTTTTGCTTTATTCCAAAAACAGTATTAATGATACAGTAAGGAATTTTCAGCATTCAGTACAATATTGCATCTAATTTACTCAATACGACAAAAAATAAACATGACATAATAATAATAATAATAATAATAATAATAATAATAACAAAACGTTGTTATAGCAGCTATGTAGCAAATTACAGTATGCGATAAGGAGGAAAATATGCAGAAATCATAAAATTGTAGTAATAATAGTACTAACAAGTAAAATGAAATAACTAAGTTTTAATTAAACGACAGAGAGAGGGTGACACCATAAAATCACAGAAAGATGAACAATGAAAAGATCGATTCATTTTGCTAATTACATAGTAACTTATATGTTTCATGTCTAACAGTGTCTTCATCAGATAAAATACAGGCTAAATAGGGTATTGTAGAATTTTTGTACTTAGTGGTGCGAGCATATAACTTAGTATGTTGACTTCTCGTCCTACCTGATGAGATTCAAGGGGATAGTTTTGTATAAAGGGATGTAGGGGGTCTGACAGTACGGCCTTGATCCATTTCGTACAGGATTCTAAATGTCTCTCGACTGTAATATTACCAAGCTCACACAGTGGCATACCACAAGCCCTACTCACAGCATTTTATGCCCTTCGTAGTATGATATATTCTTTTTTGAGAAGCCCAGTAATAATTAATGGAGAGCAATAGAGTACAATAGGTAAAATACGGGAGTTTAAAAATTGCAAAACTAAAGGTTGGTTGATACCTGATTGTCCTAACTTTTTAATGTAGAAGGTAAGACGAAACATTTTCTTAGAGATAGATAAGATGTGGGATGACCATGAAAGGTCAGAGGAAAGAACTAATCCAAGGTATTTGATGCTTGAGTTGGTTTCTATTTCAGTGCTATCTATGCTACAGGCATCATAGGAACTAACTAGATCCTGTATGTCACGTGGATGCTTGAAATTAAAGTTAACTGCCTGACATTTGGAAGGATTTAACATAAGACCATTTGACTTAGACCACTTGCTGATGTCCAACAGAAAGCTATTAAGTTTGGAAATGTCAGAAGTTATAGTCAAATCATCCGCATATTTGACAAAGTTTTTTTAATTCAGCTTGATTCCACACTGTATTTTTGGAACAGGTATGGAGTTTTCAGCCTGTGATATCGGTAGCCCAAATTTTGCAGGCCGACAATAGATATCAGGTGTGCGTCGGCAGGGGATCGAACCTGGAACCATGTGCATGGTAGGTGAGAGTCCTTACCACCGTCCCACCGACGCAAAGTCTCGTTTAAATGAGGCAGGTCGTGTAGGAATAAACAAAAAAAGAAAAGGACAGAGGACGGCACCTTGAGGAACACCGGATTTTGTAAGCGAGGCAGAAGAAGATTTACCATTATATACAGTGTACTGCATTCTATCAGAAAAATAGGAATGCAACCAACTTTTAGCTTAGGATCCTGTTTGCGTCAACGAAATCTTATTTAATAAAAGGCCCCCTAGGTAGAGAGTCAAAAGCAAATGTCTAGTCTAGGAAAGCACCACAAACATATTTGGCACCTTTGTGTAAACAAGAAACAACGTTATGATATAAGACAACCGCAGCATCCAAGGTACATCTACCATGTTAGTATGCTAATTGTTTACGATCATTAAAAGGTTTTTATTATCTGCTAATCGTGTTGGCACACGCTAAGTCTGCTGTGATTGGTTGCTGAGTTACTCGAGGTCAGGCTTTGTCATTGTTTTTCTTAATGACCCAGATTTGGGACGCAAACACTGATATAAATTGGTGTCTAAAATTTTGGCTAACAGACTTCTATCAATCACCACAGTGTCAACAAAACTAAAAACGGAATACTGTCTTTGTTTTAGACTGTCCTTTTTATAATAACAATACTGTTTCCCGATGGAGACGATTTTTTCAAGTTAACAAAACTTGCAAAATCTAAGTGATTTTAAACTTGTTTAGCCGGGTGAATTGGATTCCTTTTTACTCTAAAATATCGTCACACACTTCAAGTTTCATGCCCTATATCATTTTCTTTCTCTTCTCTTATTTTGGTGTGTGTTTGTGTAGCTGTGGCAAAATTCGAATGATGCAAACCACCATATGTGTCGTGAGAATATTGAACATTTACAAAATCAACTGTTAGACATGAAACACCAACTACAATATTGTCAAGAAAGAGAAAAGAATAAAGAACAATTACTTGAAGAAAGTTATAACACAACAAGACAATTGCAAGAAAGTGTTACAAATCTATTTCAACAAGTGAGTTATAAGTTATTCTCACAAACGACTTATTGCAAGTAATCAGCTACCATTTTTGGTTACCATTAATTTAACTTAACTAGCTTTGGACAGCATTCACAAGTGACACGATTGCTTGAAGACTTATGAACTAGAGATCTCTTGTTTCAACTAGTGAGCTGAGATTCAAAGGCCAAGTGATTATTTTGCCCTAAGGCAACGAATCAATTTACTTGACTTCTATCCAGAGCATTTAGATGAAAGAAAAAGACATGATCCTGGTGAAATTTCGCCACAGTTTTCTTCAGAACCCTAATAGTTAGATCATTAAATAAATGGGAATATAAAAGCGTACATCTTATCAACAGTCATTTGTAAATAACGAGTTTCGTTTTATTCACACCACCATGATTCTTTCTGGTGGTTCAGTTGTCTGATTTAGCTACCAAGCATCACTATCCGTATCAGTCAGAAATACACAGGGGATTGTAGTGCATGCGTTGTCTTTCAAAAACAATTACTCTACATCTGTGGTGTATTTTGTATCTTATTTGAAAACTGGCCTTTGAATGAAATGTTCTCTTACAGAAAGCTATAGAATGAAGTACTCTGGAGTTCTAGCGAGGAGACTTGACCAGTCGGGCGTGAGGATAAATACTCGCCGATGACACTGACTGCTGGTCGTGCTGAGATCACGAATAGGTAGAAGACAGAATTCATGGACCACTGAATAGGTGCTCAGTAGCCGAATGGCCATAGGTTCGAACCCGGTGGATGAGTAGTGCTGATGAGTCCCATAGTAGAATAACATAGCTCTCCAGTAATGTGTGGTCTTCCAATGGTTCTCTAATTAACATTAATTTCTGGTCAAACTTTAAATAAGCCATTTTAGTTCTGGTGGCTCTGTTACACGCTCTTTTGCAGTAACCAGTTGAATAATGAACAAAGTTAATTTAGAGGGTGAAAATATTATCCCTTTTTCTCTTAATGATGAACTGAACCACGCACCTTTTAGAATATTAGACTAGTAAATCAAACCAAGAATGTCTGTTTGGCAAAAATGGAAAAAATAAAAGTTACTCAGCGTGAAAATGTGCAGAATTGAATGGATTTTACTTCTAATCTGACTGTCATCAAAGTTCCCAAAAGTGATGTAGCCTTTTATAATGTAATTTGAAAAGTATCTGCTAGATTAAAACACATATTACTACTATTGAATCATTAATTCCTTCACGTTCCCAGTGGAACATAGGACTTCAGGCTAGAGACTTGAAGTTTCGGTAGCAGTAGTGATTATTTTTACAGGATGGGGTTGCTAGCCTTCTGCCCAACCTTTCCTTGTTGCCAGGTTTTTATTTCTGACTTAGGGAGGTGGAGAAATGCATCGGTGGTTGGGAATCGAACCCCGGACCATGTGCATAGTCAGCGAGCGTCTTAACCGCTGTGCCACCGACGCAAGTTAATCACAAACACCATATAAATAAGTATTTTTGACCATGGAAATACAAAAAAATGTCTTTGTTGATTTATTTATTATCATGGAATAATTCTTTTCACTGTACAGGTTGGAGAACGGGAGAACTTACTTCATAAAATAAGCTTAGAAGTCAATAAACTGAAAAGTAAACACGAAGAAGTTATTACAGAGGTGAGTGAACAACATCCACCACGGCGTTTACAATATAATGCATATTTTTTACTACCACGTCATTAATTGAATAGTCAGGCAAAGGAATATTTTTAATCTTTTGTATCAGCAATTATTTCTGATGGCTAAATGTTGACTGAAAAAAAGGAAATGGTGAAGTCTCAGTCTGATATAGTTGTATTCTCTGAGTTTGGTGCTTTAAATCTCGAAGCCTTCACTGTCTTTCTGGACATTTATACAGAACCTAGCGCAGAGGATAAGATAACATCAGAATAATCCAAATGGGTTACAAATCTTCGCTATCCGTCGATTCAAATCACCAAAACACTACTCTATTCTGATATTTGTGACTTTGAATTATACCAAAAACCGTTCGCATACTCTGCATATATGTTTCATCCTGACAAAACCTTGAGGCAGCTGTCACGTAAACTCCACAAAATGCATACATTTTTGTGCATTGCTTGTATTTGAAAGCATATTTCAGGTGTCTGAAATGCCATTTACATACCAGTCATGGTCAAGTTAACAACATCATGTGTAAATATGCTTTCGGCTTAAGATGTATTTGCTATATACTCGAAAGAAGACTAAGAATCTGCCTAAGGAAAAAGATTTCAGTCAGTTTAAATTATTTATTTTAGTGTGTAAAATAGAAGTTTTAATGGTTTCTAAAGTTTTCAGCAAGTAGTAAAATATAACATTTGTCGATTTTTTCTCCAACTGTGAACATGGTCTGGGGGTCGATCCCTGACCAACGTACTCTTACACCTTGTTTACTAGCTGGTGGTTGGGTCTGGGCATGAGGATAGCAATCCTACTGTTCCTGAAACTTCAAATCTTGAAGCCTTATGCTTCACTCGGAACATAAAGGAACAGTAAAAAGCTGATATGACAGTGAGATAATAAATTAGATGAAAAAAGAGGAATTTTGAGCACTAGTGAACTACCGCAGAAATATAGTTGAAAGGTAGTCATGAATAAACACACTGTATAATCAAAGTAGTAAATTAATGCCATTCATTTTGTTTAAATTAAAACCCTATGCGGTGCAAGTGATGCCCTCTAGAAATGTATAAATATGTCTGCAGTATTTCGTCAGATATTATGATGTTACATAAACATTAGTTCCGTTTTACAAATCTTATAAGGAAATCACCTTTTATTTGACTTTACTTCTATATTTCGGTAATGTGAACACAAAATACTACTGTATTCCTTACGGGGACAGCTGTTAGTAATAGCCAGTTGAAGATATAATGCAGGTTTCCTGCTCCCTCTTTGCTGGTTCACATCATGGGTTCATCATATTCCACGCCACATAGCTTTTGAATAATATCCCATGATATAATTGCATATGTAGTTAAATCGATTCTAACAAATAGCCAAACCAAATGACTGCCGATAAGTACCCGAATCACACACTGGATGGTAATTTTATAATAACAGTTTAGTTCAAAGGGTTCCAGTTACGGTTTATCGATAAGATGTGAAACAATAATCAATACTCTGCTAATTATTACCTATCAGTCTAATTTGACATTGTATCCAATGAAGGATATTGAGTTAGTTAAAACCTTAATTAAGAAACTAGGTTTCACCAGTGAGAAGCTTCTACAAGATTGAGGATAAGTCTTGATGACTGCGAATAACTACAAAACTACTCAATCCAAGAGCTTCTAGATGTGCAATTATTTAGCTGATACAAATATACAGGTTCCCATCAGTGTATTTTCATTTATTAAAATGAAAGCACAGAAATATGCATATGAATTCAAATAAAGGTCAATGCACTCTGAACGTCCAGTTCACATTCAACGACACCATCTACAGACAAAAGGATAGTATTGCAATGGGATTTCCGTTGGGTCCACTACTATCAGATTGCTTCGTGGCAAGCCTCGAGAGAGGTTCACTAAAGCCGAGCATTGACGATTTGCGACTGTACAAAAGATATGTGGACGATATTTTCATTATTTTGACAACAACAATGACCCCAATTTACTGCTGAAGACATTTAACAGTTGCCATCCAGCAATAAAATTCAATCTTGAAATGGAAACGAGTCAAAAATTCCGTTTCTTGATGTGGAACTAACAATAAGAGCTGATGGCGGCCTAAGAAGATCAATCCATAGAAAACCTATGTGGAATGGTCAACTAACAAGTTTCTATAGCTAGGTACCTATTCAACAAAAGCGAAATTTAATTAAATCACTTGCCACCCGTATCCGACGCATCTGTAGTCCCGACATTCTGGAAACAGAATTAGATATTCTAGTAGAAATCTTCATCCAAAATGGATACTCAATAAGATTCATCGACAAAAATATCAAATCAAGAATTAGGAGAAACGAAATTTTAATTGCGCCTAAAAAGAAACTCTCCATGAACTTGGATTTCAAGGCAGATTTAGCAAGTGATATTCTCAAGAGAAGGACCACATCATCTCTGAGAAGAGCATTCTTTGCAGCAACGCTAATAATAGTGTTCTCCAGTCGCCCACTGATCTGCAGAAGCCTCAAGTACAAGATCCCGCATCTGGCCATTTCTATGTGCATATATCAGTTCACCTGCTGCAGTGGAGCCAGAGACATTGATCGTTCGACGCGAATCCTGTCCAAGAGGATTCGAGAACACTATCCAGCATGGTAGCGAAAAGGCAATAGTGGTGCAATAAGGAGTGCGATAATTGAATACCTGGTTAACACTGATGTTGCCGTTTCAACAAACGCCTCCTTCAAAGTAATCTACAGAGTCAAGAATAACCTACCAGAGGCAATACGGTTGTGGTGACTGACAATTTCTATCTCTGTATTGTTTAAATACTTACTGTTGATTATTAACATATTTCTTATATGAATTGAATAATAATTCCGCTAAATACAAATTCCTGAATTCCGCCCTCTCTGTGTTTTCAAGTGTTGGTTTGTAGGGATTTGATTGGTTTCAGGATTTCATCATGAGCTGACATTAGTTAGAGAACCATTGGAAAACCTGGGAGTACTGGGCAGCTGTTTAGTCCTGATTTGGGACTCTTCAGCAGTACGCACCCCACACCACGGGGTTCGAACCCAGGACCTTCCGGTTACAAGGCGAGCTCGTATACCATTAAGCCACTGGGACCCGATCCAATGGTCCTTGAATTCTAACTTCTGCCAATTCACGACATAGCGCGACCGCTAGCCGATGTCTTCGGCGAGTATTTGTCCTCACACCCGACCAGCTGCACCCTACTGGTCACGACTTCCCACTGGAACCCAGGTAACTACCTACCTGAATAGGGCCAGTCGCCAGTGAGCATCTCATTGGTATTCAAGTGTCTCTGTGTTTTGGTTGAATTCTTGTAATTCGGTCATCTCGAAATACTAATACTACGATTACAAATAATTACAACAACGGTTTCATCCCCTTTGTATCTCTGAAGCTGTGGCCATTGACATAGGAAAACCGGAGCTGTGCATACAAAAGAAGATTACTCAACTGCTTTTACTCTCATGGTAACAATTTTTTGATTTGTTTTGAGTTTTTATTTTTATTTTTATGACTTAATTTTGTTTCTCTGCCTGTTCTTTAGTTGCTTATAATTCTTGTATTCACTTAGATCTCTAACATAATTTCGTATTATCTACTTTGTTTCTATGTGCACCCTAAGTAAAACTCACTCATCAAACTATTCATATTATTATTACATAACTTCTTTTAACAGCTGTTTGTGACAACTCATCACCTTTGTTACTACCCTAGTTTCACTAACACTTGATTTTCTTGACTTGTATTACCAACCTTCACCTGTTTTGTTAAAATAACCTTAACCAATCGTAATTTTGTTTGACAAACTTGATATACACATACATACAAAACAACACACATATATTTGCGGTTGTACAGCTAATAAAATGAATTCGCCGCTGAAAAGAGACTCTTCGCTGATCTACGTGTTCTGTTTTCATTAATGCCTGGATGGGGATTATCCATGAATGAAATAAAAGTCCACAAAGAAGTATCGACAAAATAAATTTTAAAATCTCATACTTCTTTTCGTATCTATCTAGCGTGATGTCTTTCAAAGTCAAACTAAAGAACTAGAAGAACGCTGGCGTTGTCTACACAAACAATATGAGAATAATACAAATAATTTAACTAGAATGGTATGTTTGAGTGACTATCCCAGAATGCATTTTTGTTTATTATAAACATATTAAATATTAAAACAATTAGTCCCTTTGATAAATTTGAATAAGGCATTAAGAAGAAAAATTTCGCCGCGAGATGATATCGTCATTTCGTAGTTTCTTTACAACCGCTTTACACAACTAACATGGTTAACAATAACATTAAAATAAAATAAAGTTCATATTTTTACGAGTTGATCACGGATTGATATCAGTTAGAGAAGCACTGTAAACCAGGGAGTACTGGACAGCTGCTGTTTCATCCTAGTTTGAGGATCATCGGCAGTACGCACCCAGTGGGATTCGAGCCCAGAACCCGGGGTGCGTTCTGCCGATGATTCCCAAACTAGGATGAAACAGCAGCTGTCCAGTACTCCCTGGTTTTCAATGCTTCTCTAACTGATATCAATCCGTGATCAACTCGTAAAAATCATGACAATTACTCAGTTATATAAAAAACAAAAGTAGTACATGCCATGCTAATGATCAATGATATTTTAATAGGTCAAGTAGTCAGTCCATGGTAGGCGAAGATTGAAGTCTATTGCTTTTTGTACACACAGTTTAGGCTGTATGTGATTAATCCCCCAATGTGCCTCTACCACCTTAAATAACCAGCCTTGAATTAGAGTTATGTGGAATAATTGTGAAACAGTCAATAATATTGATTGATTTTGTGACCAGGCATTAATAAGTGTTTTGCAATGGATGATGCTGGATTTCTACTAAGATTAATCGCCTTATAGGATTTTCGATAAGATTTACTAGCCATTTTGGAACATGTTCTTTTCCACGACATTGGAACATTCTGTTAGTTCTACCTATATAGATGTCACCGCAGCTGCAGGTGAACTTGCAGATACAGTTTGAAGTAGAGTCCACAGAATTTCGTCCTTTGATCGTTGGTACACGGATCGAAAATGTTCGGCAAGTGAGAAAACGAGATGCGGCGGCGTAGAATGTGCGTTTGATGGCTGACTGAAGTCTTTGAACTGTCAAGTGCACAATCTGGTCGCCTCTGAATGCTAGGTTAATGAAGATAGCTTTCTTTGGTACAGAAGCTGTCTTTTCGAGATGTGGTCTATCCTTACCCTGACAATGGATGAAGTTTTCTGGATAACCATTAGCTAATAAAACTGAGTGTATATGTCGAAACTCATCCATCAATGTGTCACTCGTACATATTTTTCGGGCCCTTGAGAACAAACATTTCACTAGGGAACGTTTATGCTGGATAGGAACAAAACTGGTAAAATGAAGATATTGTCCACTCCGTGTCTGTTTACGAAAAATAGAGCGCTGAATCGTTCCATCATCTCTCCTAGTCATAGTGATATCCAGGAAACCGAGCTTGTTATTCGATTCTAGTTCGGAAGTCACTCGAATATTTGGATGAATATGATTAAATAGGGTAATACAGTTTTCGATAGAAATACTATGATTACCAATAACGAGAGTATCACCTACGTAAAGTTTATACAGCATAAATTCTACAAGCATACCTTGCATTTGTTTCTCTAATTTCGACATAAATATATCTGCTAATAGGGGCCCGAAATTATATCATCTCGCGAAATTTGTATTCTTAATGCCTTATTCATATTAAATATTCCCATAGTAAAATTTAGATCAACGCATTTAAGCGAACAATATTGTTGTTTTTAATTAGATCTCATCTCAACTCTAATATACACACATAACTTTACAAATAAAAATTCAAATATAAACCAATCACAGTGATTTGTCAATATAAGGATAAGATTGTCTATATAAATTGTGCAGTTAGTCATAATAATAAGGATTCTATCAATAACGAAAATGAAAAGGTGGAGCAATGTGTGATAACACGAATACTGATGAAAAACAGCATGATTAAACAAACAAGTTTTCAGGTAGAATTAGTAGTCGATAAAAGCTAAGAAAAACAAATGAACCGATTAAGTGATGCTAGACTGAGATTGTAAGAGAAGGTTTTCTAATGGTTCTTTAACCAATGCTAGACAATGATCAAATCCTGTAACCAGTCAGTCAAATCCCTACAAACGAGTACTCGAAAATACGTTTTAATGAAGATGAGCTAAGATTGAAGGATGACAAAAGAGGAGTGAAAATAAAAATAAAGGTTGGTGTAGTCATGAGTTGGTTATGTCTTAATAGGCCAACAAGAGAGGGATAATGGCTGTACCAACTTCTTTTGAATGCATAGTTTAGGTTTAATATTTCGAATACCTATCGTCTCAGCTATGCGCAGTAGACAAATACGAAGTCTATTGGAAGGATTCGGTGGGATACGATGGGTTACTTTGAAAGCTCTCGTTTTCTCCACTACATGACCACTATCAATTAAATGTGATAAAATTGAGCTACGGATTGTATTTGTCTGTCCTTTGCCAAACCACGATGTTGGGAGATGTTCAGTAACACGTTGGCTAAGCTGTCTAGTAGCACGCCCAACATAACTGTCACCACAGGTGCAGTTGAATTGATAAATGCGCATAAATGTGGCAAAACTATCTAACTATACTTCTTTTGCGTATAGTTAATCATTCGTCGACTAGGGAACGTATATTACAGTTAAGCCTGATGAGATCTCAATGAAAACAATATTGTTGGCTCGAATGTGCTTTTCTAAATTTTATTATAAACGTCTATTGTAGGAATTAAGAAATGGATTATTAACCAGATGTGTTTTGATTACAGGATTTCATCATGAGTTGACATTGGTTAGAGAAGCATTGAAAAACCTGAGAGTACTGAACAGCTGTTTAGTCCTGATTTGGGACTCTTCATCAGTACACACGCACGCACCGTGATTCGAACCCAGGACCTTCTGGTTACAAGGCGAGCTCGTAGACCATTAAGCCATTGAGACTCGATTCAATGGCCCATGAATTCTAACTTCTGCCAATTCACGATATATGGCGCAACCGCTAGCGAATGTCTTCGGCGAATATAGGTGTGAGGACAAATTGATCAGATTTCAAGCGTGTTTCTTTTTTTTTAAATTTTCACCTGAAGCCCTTCGATCCGTCTTTCAGAAACTATCGTTTTTTATATGACTGTTCAGTTGTTAATCGCACCAATCACTGGTATAAATCCTGATCCAAAATATTATTTGACCTTCTCAGTTAACAGCGTTATTGTATCATTGTTCTTGAGACAGCCTAACTGAAGTGCACGCGTGGGCGATAAGTTTATTAATTTTAGTGACTACACTGTAGATGGAATTACAAATATTTCATCAGCTTTGACAAATTAGGTGAATAACACTGATTGAAACACGTCAACTGAATAGTCTGTATTTCATTTCGTTACCGTAAATTTGCAAAAGGAGTTTTTAACAAGTGGATAATTCGCCGTCATATTGCCATAGAAATTACTATGTGATTGGCTAAATGTCCCAAGTAAAGCAGAAAATTGATTATATGACTCACAAAAGACAAAACACAAAAAACTATGAATCCAGATCTTAAAGTTAAACACATTACCTGGGATATGGATCCCAACAACTCGTTGTACTACAAAGGTTGTTCTATAAAGCTTGCCGTTGCCCAGGCAGGTATATCTAATAAACGTAGTGTTGTGCGAAAAGCAACTGACCACATGAAGTATTGTTAACGATTTTTGTATATTATTGAGATTATGGAAATCGTTATCTAAAGAAGCTGTTTTTTGCTTCAGGTAAAAGAGCGAGATGAGTTACTAGCCAAAATGAAAACTGAAATGGAAAGTATTGAAGAAACTGGCAATGAACGAAAAAATCAGGTAAATGAGATTCTTTCCTTTTCTTTTCCATTCCCTGGTAAGGAAGTGTACTTAGCTGTAAACTAGTCATTTGGAAAATAATTTTATCATGAAAAAAAGTTGTACAAAGCTGCACAAAAAGGGACAATCGTATATACACTGTCATGGCAAAGAAAAGAATGTTTCCATAGTCTTGTCAATGAAACCGTAGGTTTCATGTGGTGGTTACATAATACAGGGAATGCTATTTACTGGAAAAATGAGATAAGTGAATTGAGTTACGTCACACTATTAACAGGACTGAATGGATTCCAGTCAGGATTGGGGAACTGTCAAAATGAAATCACTGTCATAACGAGGAGGAATGTAATAGTGGGAAAGCAGAAAAAATTGAAAAAATGGAGATCCTCTAAGATTCATCGAGAATAGCATGAACGTAAAACAAAAGCCCGAAAGAGACCAAATGATACCGAAGAAGCTGTTATTTAAGAACATTGCATTTAAAGGTGAAAGCTCTCCTAAGATCCTGAAGAATCGCTTGCCGTGATTACTGAGAAAAGCCTTCTTTTCGGCTGAGCTAAGGGATTAATTTCTACGGCTGACAAATGATCAGTGGGTACGTTGAGGATAAACTGCCATTTTGCATGGGTCACCTTTTCGGAGCTAGTTATATTGGCCGCACAAAGAGCACATTTTCCGAACGCATCTGTGATCATTTTCTCCGGCATGGTTAGCAAAACGACAATACATACTGGACATGCAAGCATCAGCTCTTACGAAGTAGAGGGAGTAACACTCTCATCAGTTCAGGCTCATTTGAATCTAGATGTCATAGTAGGTCACAATTTCAAAGCTACAGTACACTGTCGTGCGGTGGATGCACCCAGTTTCAAATCCTTATGGGCAATTCTTAGAGTCTTTACTAGAATTACCACCAGACACACACTCACCCCCCCCTTTAAATACATCTCTGATGAGGTTAAGACTGGAGGACTGTATCCAGGTGGCCAGTACTTGTCTTAAAGGGGATTCACATTTCCTAGAAAGGCTTCAAAGGAAGGCAACATGCATGATTCTCGACATGACTAATTTACCATACGAGGAAGGAAGGATTTAGCAGTTTGAATCTCTTATCCCTATCATACAATAGGTAGGGACATCTCATTTTGTCTGCAAATTCAACTGATTCATTGAAGAAGGGTTTGGAAAAGTGCAGAAATTTACTAGAAGAGGATTAGCATAGGCTTCAAGCTTTCTAGCCTCAGTTAACAATTCTGAATCTGAATCTGAAACCTGATTAAGCGAACTACACTAATAATTATCTTGGGAAATAAACAGGTTTGTTGGCATTCTTAACCCGCTACAATTAATGTCAGTAAAAAAGCTTGAACGTAGTGGAGCAGATCAAATAAAATATTATATTACAATGGTTACAAACAATGATAAGTTTTGTTATTCGTAATATTTGGGGTAGAATTACTAACTGTGTTCACACCACTGTTGGAATTGTTTTATTCACACATTTATGATTTGTAGTCATATATATATATATAGTTCATTATTATTATTTTTTGCTCATTCATGTTTTGTGTGTGCATATGTGTGTTCAGAATTATACTCCACATTCATTCATGTGTTTGTATTTAGAATTATATTCTAAGTTGATAGTTGTACTGAGCACCCTTGTTACATATATCCGGTGTGACTTTAATGAATATCGATTCTGTTATGAGTCTTTCTTTCCATTTGTTCATGTTTGTTTTTAGAATACACACATTGTCCCAATCGATATTGTGGTTTTTGTCCCATGCATGTGCAGCTATCGATGAATTTTTTTCAAGATTTTTGTAAGCTTGTGTTCCTGTTGGTTGACCTTTAGTTAGGCGTTCATGTTCATTCACTCTTATCTGAAGGGATCTGGATATTCGACTAATATATAGTCGAACACTCGGCACAACATATTTTGTAAATCACATTGTATTTATCCATCAGTTTTGTGGGATCTTTCAGTTGATTTATTTTATTTTAAATTAGATTCGTTTAAACGTTGTGCGAATCCCAATATTTTTGAGGTTTTTTCTAATTGCCTCAGATGTACCATTTTTGCATGGTATTGTGACTGCTTTTTTTGCATTCTTCCGTCTTATCATACTTCGGTTTTACCCTCATTTTATATTATCTTAGATAAATTCTTTTGGGTAGTTGTTGTCGAGTAACATTTTGAATAGGACGTTTATTTCTTAACAATGGTCTTCTGGTGTTGTTGTAAGTTTACGTGTTCTATCTGCAAGACCTTGTACTAATCCTTGTTTTACTGTAAGTGGGTGAGCTGAGTGATAATCAAGTTATCTTGCGGAGTGTGTAGTTTCTCTATGTAGTATCGTTTTTATGCTACCAGCTTTTACTCTTTGTATTTTGCAGGCTAACATAGGCAGTTCCCCAATTTCATCCTCTATTTCCATAGTGAATTTTATTGAGTCAACATGCCTGTTTATGTGCGAGAAGAGTTTCTCAACATCGTTCTTTTCACTATTGCTAACATGTCGTTTTCATATCCCCACCAACATTTTATTGATGACCTGAATGGTTTAAGTGCATTCTCTTCCCAAAAAATCCATGAATATGCTAGCTATTATTGGTGAGATGGACGATCCCATAGCTACTCCTTCATTTTGTTGGTATGTCTTCCCTTCAAATGTGAAATATGTTGTTGTTAGACAGAATTCCACCCTTTTTATTATCTCTTCTACGGATAATTGTGTTCTGTCTTTTAGGCCATTATCTTCTTTTAGTCTCGTTTTCAGTGCATTCATGGCCATTTGCATGGGTATTTATCTGTTACAATTAAATAACAAATAAAGCACTGAAATGACACTGAAAGCTGAAGGTGTCCTTCTGTGATGTTATTTCCTCCATTTATGGCGAATGGCAACTATGGAATTGTTTATATTCAAATGCAACCGAAAAATAGTTAATATGTAGTGGAGTAAGTAAGGTAGTAATATCAATTGTAGGTATCCAGTATTTTCATCTTATTGCCTGATGATTTTAATTGTGCTGAGTTATTTCTAAACTTTTGCTAGGATCAGTGAATTAACTGAAGATTGACTTCCGTTGTATTCAGCATGCTGTAATTAATCTTTTGTGCATCGGTGGCACAGCTGTAGAATGCTCACCGACCACGCCTCCTGTGGTTCGGGGTTCGATTCCCGGCTACCGGCTACACACTCCTTAACCTCGCTAAGCCATGAAATATGACTGGTAAAGAGGCAAGGTTGGGCGTGGGTCTAGCAACTCCATCCTGTAAAAAAATAAACACAAGTGCTACCGAAACTTCAAGTCTCTAGATTGAAGCTCTATGTTCCTCTGGAAACGTCAAGGGATAAAAAAAAATCAGTCTTTTATATGGATATTAAGTAAAACTATTTAAGAATAGTCGTTAATAATAATAAATACTAAAAGGTAAGTATTATTTCCCCCCTCCCTCCCCCAATAAAATAGATCATGAAAATGCTGAAGGAAATTTCAAATGTCCGAGAGAAGCTGGATTTACAAATAGGTCGTTCAATGCAATTGGAAGCAGAGTTGACACGTGTAAAATCAATTAATGCCCAATTGGAGTCTGGTATTCAAGAGATGACTAAACAAAGTCTGACAAATGCTCAGACAAGTGCAGCGGAAATTCGTGCCTTACAGGAAGAAAAACACTTAGCACACAATAATCATCAGTTAGAAATTAACCTTATGAAAAAAGATTTAAATCAGTTGAGCAATGAAAATACAGAGTTTAAGAAAGAAATCAGTCGTTTGCAGAATAAAATTTCAGAGCTTAAGGTAAGTGTTATCTAACCATTCGGATTGAGATCTAGATCATAGTTATGTGGATAATTATTTTATCTTATTTGTTAGCTAGGCGTCAGTGGCACAGTAGTTACGACGCTCACCGACCATGCACATGGTCCGAGGTTCGATCCCCGGCCACCGACGAGGCACTCCTCTACCTCACTAAGCCAGTAAGTAATAAGACTGGCAAAGAGGAAAGGTTTGGCATGAGGCTAGTAACCTCATCCTGTAGAAATAATCACCACTGCTACAGAAACTTCAAGCCACTCACTAGCTTAAAACCCTATGTTCCACTGGGGAACGTGAAGGAAGAAACAAAAAATTTGTTAGCTAGGGGCTGAAAACATGTTAAATTTATCATGATGGTGATAATTGCAAAGCTAACTGTATTGATTATCAGCCACCGGAATGGTTACTGACTGAATAATCATAGTTACAGTTGGATAGAGGAATGAAGGCAAAAGGCTGCAATTTCCGCACCTTTTTACTTTAGATATCTACCTAGATGTACTGGAGATGACTTTCTTAGAGTTTGGTAGAGAAGTTTGTAAATAGGGTTTTGTGTATGATTGTCTTTAACGAGGGATTTAGGCTTTTGAACACGAAAAATGGTACCGTTTGGAAGTTCGACTCTAACACTGAACTGGTTTCACAAATATCATGCTTCATCTGTAGCACGAAGAAACACTTTCTTTGAACCATTATGTCAGACGTTATTTTTAGTTTCCACAATCTGTAGAGCGCCATTCTGAATATGAATAAGGTGGTGTTATCTGGGGTTGACAGACAATCTATGGAAATTCTTGGACCTTCGGTTTCCAGACTTTTTAGACTGACGGGTGAAGGTTATTTGCAACCTCAGTGGGATTGATGTTTTTTTCAGCTATCTGTATACCTTTATGTGGTTGTGCTGATAAATGTTTTCTTCAGGCGACTCTAAATTTGGAATCTAGCTGGATGAATACTTTAAAAGCTTCAAGATCACTGAAGACTTACTCTTCGTCTTGAAATGCCTGCTTTTCACATTTGTTACTCATATTACATTACATTACTGACTTTAATTGGTAGTATCACCTTGTATTCTTATCAACCTGAACTTTTGGATCTCTCACAGGATGAAATGATACAGTGTAAAAATGATTCACAAAATAAAATGAATTCACTACAAGAAAAGGATAAACAAATTCAATCACTTGCGCATGAACTTGAATCTTGTCATCGGGTACGTCTTCCCTCAAGATGCATACAATATTGAAAACATTGTTTTGATGTTGTGGTTTATTTTGAGTAATTTTGAGTATTAAATGTTTATTTGGTTGAAACCGTTATGTATTACTGTACTGCGTGTTACATCGATCAGTAAATTAACATAAGATTACACTACACACTGCGTATACTTTGTCTGAGCTTTCGATATAATTGGTGCAGCCTGAAAATCGCTAAAAAATCATCTTGAGGCCAACCAGAAACAGTCAAAGTTGCTATGCAGTTTTAATGAAACTTTATAACGACCAGATGTTGGTACGGATTAATTGGATAAAATTCTTATTCAAGTGTCAGTTTGTAGGGATTTGATTGGTTTCAGGATTTCATCATGAGCTGACATTATTTAGAGAACCATTGGAAAACCTGGGAGTACTGGGCAGCTGTTTAGTCCTGATTTGGGACTCTTCAGCAGTACGCACCCCACACCACGGGGTTCGAACCCAGGACCATCCGGTTACAAGGCGAGCTCGTATACCATTAAGCCACTGGGACCCGATCCAATGGCCGACCCGTGAATTATAACTTCTGCAAATTCACGACATAGCGCGACTGCTAGCCAATGTCTTCGGCGAGTATTTGTCCTCACACCCGACCCACTGCGCCCTACTGGTCATGAGTTATTCTTATTGTTCTACAGTCAGTTCATTGGAATTCGAAGGACTTAATTATGAGTGGTACTTGAGAAAGTAGAAATGCATAAAATGTGTGAGTCTTTCTAAGCTTATAATATAATTCTGAACTAATTATAACATATTCGTCGATGATTCCATTTATTCCGACAATGAATCCACTAAGTACTACTGAAATAAGGCTGGTCGTTCTTAAAAAGAGCACTGGACGCTTAAATAATCCGGCGATATCTAAAAAAATGGGATTTGCATCTGAATTAATGCCAGTCACTGCTAAGTGTGGGCTGAGAGGACTGAAACAACTCTGATGGGCAAGCTAAGTAGGCTCTGAGCTACTTCTGAAAATGCTTAAAAGGAGACAGGGGGAGGTTAAATTGGTGCCAGTCATACTGTAAACCGGCAATGAGTCCCGATTTATGCGAATCATCAAACCATTTCAGTGTAATTTCAGGATTTACTCACTATGGAATATTAGTGTTATTTCAGAATTAGCAAGATTTAATCCAGCATTATAGTAAGTAGCCTGGGAGTTTATTTCAGGATGAATTTTCGCCACTGAGAGGTGTATATAATTAATATTATATGCTTTAATTCCCAGAGAAACATACGGCTTCGGGTGCTCACCTCCATTGCCTTCTGTTTTCTGCCAACTCTTCACTCCGCTCCAAGTCTGCACACATCCTTTCATCTCCTCTTCACATGACCTCCTCCAAGTCACCCTCACCCATGCACTCACGACCAACTCGCCACCCGCTTGCCTTTCGGCCTGGTTCCACTCGAGCCATGGCTTGTCTAGTGATGTCACTCATTTGATGGTTTCCTCAGAGTATGGCCACAATCCAATCCATCTCCATTTCTTCCTGCCTGTTTGTTTGACAATTGGTTCCTGCTGTGTTGGTTGGTTCGCTGATTGACAGAGATCCCTCACTGTTGGTGATCTTTTCTGTCCGGCCATCTGATCTTGAGTAGTATTGAGCGAAGACAACTGTTGACGAAGGTCTGAAGTTTGTTTGAGATGCTCTTTATGATGCGCAGTGCAAGTCTCTGATCCGTATGGTGAGTAGCACTGACTGACATCACATTCGAGTTGAAAATCCGGATGTTATTTTTGATGCTGACCAGTGATGTTCTCCTCCACACAGACTTCAGAGTAATGAAAGCCTGTCTTGCTTTCCCGATTCTGGCTTTGATATCCTCAACAGTTCCGTCGGCCTGTAGTTGAAACGATGCTTCCCATGTAGGTGGGTGGGTAGGTGAAGGAGGTTGTTTCTTTCACGTTCCTCCCATTTATGCTGGCTGATTGTTGTGTTTTGTTGTTGTTATTGCTGTTGGTGTTGGCCAGGAATCTTCATCACCTACATCTGTTTCCTCTATGTTCACCTGTAGTCCTATCCTCTCTGGATGCTTTTTCTGCCAGCTTGTTGCTTTCCACTTGCATATCTTCCAGTTTGTCGGAAATCAGACTTATATGCCACATCGGCGAAGTCCAGATCCTCCAAATTCTATTTTCGTGTGAGTCCATTTTATGCCTGTTTCCTCATCGGCCGCTAGCTGTCTTTCGCATTATCCAGTCTACTGCAATCAGGAAGATCATTGGCGATAGTAGACAGCCAGCTTGCCTCACTCCCGTCCTCACGTTGAAGGCTTCCGTAAGTTTCCTGTTGTGGATTACTTGGAGGCATGCAGCATTGTCGTACAACTAACTGTTGGATGAGATGTATAATTGTCGATGGGACCCCTTTTTAGTAGCGAAGTAGTTTCCAAATCACCCGTCGATCGACGCTGTCGAAGGCCTTTTCAAAGTCGATGAAGTTGAGTGAGGTAGAGAGGTGACTTCCATTCCAAACTTTGTTCAATGATGATCCGTAGAGTGGCGATTTGTTCAATACATGACTTGTTTCTCCTGAATCCAGCTTGTTCTGGTCGGAGTTTTTCATCCATGTTGGCTTGTTTGATTCTCTCCAGGATGATGGGTCTTATTATTTTGCTTGGGATGTATATATATATATATATGTATGTTCTCAAGTACATCTAATTCATGATATAAGAGAATTTAATTTGCTTAAGCTTATTCAAGGCATCAATATTTTTCACATTCGTCAACTATAATGTCTAGAGGTTACATTTAGAGGGATTTCATTCTTTCCTCTATGATGTGGTAACTCCATTGGAACGTTCACATTTTTTAGCGTGGGAATGCTACGTTTTTATTTATTTTTTTAACTAGCAGACAGTAATATTATACAAATTGAAATAAATGTGACATGTCTATCCTCAATTCTCACTCTACCCTCCTCCTTTCAGAGACATCAATCACCTAATAATTATGGTGGTATGTGATCCGAATACAAAATCCAACAAAAAAATTGACTGCCTAATCAATAGTACTGTAAAATGAGTACATATTTGTTCAAAATAATATTCTCAACCTGAAAAGCGCACTATGTAAACGTAAACATAACTACATCAGCGTGATATGCTTTTGTATTTTTCTGCTGCATTTGCTTACTTATACATGAAACTCTGTGATTTCTTTAGTGTTTCTGGTTAAAAAGTTGTAGAATTTTATTTTGATTGGTTTACTTTGGAACACACTGATCCTCTGAATATATAATCTTGTGTTGACTATAACTACCCGGGTAGTATTATTTGTTCTGTAGGGAACCGAGTGAAACAATGATAATAATGATATATAGTAGTAGTAGTAGTAGTGTGTCATTGTAACATACAGTTCCCATCATGTTGTGTAAATTTGAACTTCAAACAGTCTTAAATAGAAAAGCATCACCACACGTTATGACATCCATCTTTTCAAACTTACACAACACACAATTTTAATACCTTGTGAAAAAGTAAGTACGTATAATATCAGTGCAATGTATGCACGCCAAAATAAATTTTTGTGTGTGTTATTCCATAATTTATTTAAGTGAATACGACCAATTTTATGCTGAATATTTAACTGTGTTTGTTCAGTGTCAACGTTTACTCATATGTCTGTCGCAATAACCAGTCTACCGCCCACAATCAAGGGAATCGTTGGATATAGTAGGCAGCCAGCAACCTTGTCTTACTCCCGTCTTCACTCTGAAGGATTCCACAAGTTTCTCGTTGTGGATTACTTGTCGTGCAGCGTTGTTGTACAACCCCGTAGTAGCGAAGTAGTTTCCAGATCCTAACCTCTCAGTCGACGCTGTCTAAGGTCTCTTCAAAGTTGATGAAATTGATGTAGGGAGGTGACTGCCATTCCAAACCTCCTATTTGTTGAAGACTGAATCCATACAGTCAGGTTTGTAATGTGACCACCATTCTACATGTCTCGCCACCACAGTGCACTGTGAACTGTTGATATTAGGTGGTTGAAGGTGACCAGCAGGAAGTCTTGGACATATATTTCGTGTTTGTTGGTATTCACCAGTCGCTAAGACGTATCTGCAACGCTTTCAAGAAACTCATGTCTCTCCTGAGATTCAATCCCGCGTCACCCAGTGAGTACTGAAGTCAGAGACGTAGCCACTGAGCTATTCGGGGTCGCAACTGGTATCTAGTAACTAGTGTGACGTGTCTAGTCCTCTCATTGATGCACTCTGAATTCTATCAGTCAAGTTTGCAGTGTGGTCACCATTCTACGTGGTTCATGGTCACAGCGTACTGGGAATTGCTGACCCAAGCTCGAATCTTAGAAGAGACATGAGCTCCTTCACGGCTGCAGATATGCTTTGCTGACTGGTGAGTGCCGACTAGTAGGAAACTAAAGTCGAAGGCTTCCTGCCGACTGCCTCTAACCATCTGATACAAACTTAGCATTTACTTTTCTTTCAGGCTCTAATTTCGCCATAATTAGCAGTACTGATGTCAATAAACATTATGTATGACCTGAAAGGATTCAGTCAGTGACAATAGTTTTGTCTGTTAGAAGATCATATATTCCTCTTATGAATTAAAGTAATACATTTTGATAGATAACCTATACGAAACCAAAGGCTTCAAAACAAAAATTGCATCAATGGAATACAAAGAAGCTGTTTTTCACTGTTTTAATCTCTTTCATATTACTTTTCTTGATTAAAATCACCTCGTAAACAAAAAACAGGAGTTGGAGACACAAGTTAATTCAGTTGGATTGTTGAAATCTGAACAAAAGATGGTTCAAAACTCATTTGAAGAAAAGTTGAAACAATTAGAAACAACCTATGGTCAAAAGCAGAGGGAAGTTGAGAAATTGTCATTGGATTTAAACCAAGCCAAGGTGATTTACAAGTGTTATTTATCTTATTAGTATATATTATTATTATTTATTCCTTTAAAATTCCCAGGTGAAGCACAAAGCTTCAAGCTAGAGGCTTGAAGTTTCTCTGTAGCAGTTGCTAGGAGTTGCTAACCTCATGCTCAACTTTCCCTCTTACTACTGGCTTAGCAAGGTTAAGGAGTGTGCCGGTAGCCGGGGATCAAACCCCAAACCACATGAGGCGTTGCTGGGGAGCAGTCTACCTCTGTGCCACCGATGCATATCTTATTAGTGTAGTATGTATTTTTATTGGAACCATTCCGTATTCTACAGGGTTTCCATTTGAAATATTTTAAAGGAATAATATCAACCTTTATTCTCGACAATACACTTATAAACACTAGAGAATTCTGATCAAATCGCCACTCTACGGATCATCATTGAACAAAGTTTGGAATGGAAGTCACCTCTCTACCTCACTCAACTTCATCGACTTTGAAAAGGCCTTCGACAGCGTCGATCGACGGGTGATTTGGAAACTACTTCGCTACTAAAAAGGGGTCCCATCGACAATTATACATCTCATCCAACAGTTAGTTGTACGACAATGCTGCATGCCTCCAAGTAATCCACAACAGGAAACTTACGGAAGCCTTCAACGTGAGGACGGGAGTGAGGCAAGCTGGCTGTCTACTATCGCCAATGATCTTCCTGATTGCAGTAGACTGGATAATGCGAAAGACAGCTAGCGGCCGATGAGGAAACAGGCATAAAATGGACTCACACGAAAATAGAATTTGGAGGATCTGGACTTCGCCGATGTGGCATATAAGTCTGATTTCCGACAAACTGGAAGATATGCAAGTGGAAAGCAACAAGCTGGCAGAAAAAGCATCCAGAGAGGATAGGACTACAGGTGAACATAGAGGAAACAGATGTAGGTGATGAAGATTCCTGGCCAACACCAACAGCAATAACAACAACAAAACAGTAAACAAAAATTATAACTTCAGTCTGTTATAAAGTCATTAAAACACCACAAAATGCAGAAAAACTTGATACATTTTGTAGATTGTTAACTTTGCTATTCCCTTGTGCTTTAAGCGGGTACAAATTGCATTAATAATGGACACTTTAAACTTGCATATAAAGATGACAAGGACACAGAGACAATTTTTAAAAAATTTCATGTACGATAATGTGTGGTGATATATATATGCATTAACCACAAACTCATCCTCTAAACAGCTTTCTGGATGCTATAGTGGTACTATGTTTCCGCAGAAAGAAAGAGAACAAACATTTAACAGGCAAATGTTTTGTAGAAAATATGAGAGATTATCGAATGAAATACAGAAAGCTAATAGGGCGGTGATAAAAGCCAGAAGCAGCTAGTTTATACTGCATGTTCACACAAACTGAGGAAAATACTAAGTAGATGCAGCATTTGTGCATAAAATAAGAATAAAATGATACCATCATTTATTTCGTTGGCTTCACATAAACCCAGATGCTTACAGGCCAAATTCATTATTAAGTATGTATACAGAAACAATGTTAAACATACTTGCACACAGTTCAGTTTTAAACACACAATCAATCACTCATTCAGCATATGCATACAGTAATTATATATATATATATATATATATATATATATATATATATATATATATATATATATATATATATATATGTGAGATGCCCCAACAATTACACATCTCATCCAACAGTTGTACGGTAATGCTGCACGACAAGTAATTCACAAAGAGAAACTAATGGAATCCTTCGGAGTGAAGACGGGGGTATGAGAAGCTGGCTGGCTGGCTGCCTACTATATCCAACAATTCCCTTGATTGTCGGTAGTAGACTGGATATTGCGACAGACAGAGGACAACGAGAAGACAGGTGTAAAATGGAACCACACAAAAAAGAACTTGAAGGATCTGAATTTCGCTGATGATATATGTCTGATTGCCCACTAAGTGGAAGATATCCAAGTGAAAAGCAACAAGTTCGCAGAACTACCATCCACTGAAGATAGGATTTCACGTGAACGTAGAGAAAACAGATGTGGGTGATGAAGATTACTCGCCAACAGAAACACCGCCACCACCAACAACAACGAAAGATGACAATCAGTAAAGATGGGAGAAATCTGAACGAAAAAGTCTCCTTTACTTGCCCACCCACATGGTAAGTATTGTCTCAACTACAGGCGGGCGGAACTGACAAGGATATCAAAGCCAGAATCGGAAAAACAAGACAGGCTTTCATTACCCTTAAGTCTGTGTGGAAGTCAACATCACTCAGAATGAAAAATAACATAGGGATTCTCAACTCCAATGTGAAATCAGTACTACTTAACATACGGATGGATCAGAGAGTTGGCGCTTCGCTGAGTCATGAAGGCCACCTCGAACAAACTGAAGACCTTCATCTAAACCTGTCTTCACTCATCATTGCTCAAGAACAGATGGCCGGCCAGAAGAGATCATTAACAGGGTGGGATCTCTGGCAATGAACGAACCAATCAGGCTGGTAGGAAGCGACTGTGCAACAAATTTTGGAGGAGGAAATGGAGGTGGATTGAATTGTGGCCATACTCTGAGAAAACCAGCCATCGTGTGAGTGACATGACACGCTAGGCCTTCGCTGTAGTGGAACCCGAATGGGACGTGGCTAGTTGTTCGTTGGAGAGTGACATGTAGGAAAAGGTGAAACAGAGAGGAGATAAAAGCTACAACAGCGGAATTTTTAGCATGTGGTATCAGTAGGGGAAATTCAGCAGACTGGCCACTGGTATCAGGTGTGCGTCGGCCGGAGGTTGAACCTCGACCAGTGTGCATGGTTGGCGATCGTCCTAACTGCTATGCCAGTGAAACACATATATGGTATCAAAATGGAAGTTATCCTAGTAAATTGCTTAGTAAGGTAGCGGAATGGAAACCTGAATTGAATATACTGTTTACATGTTACTCCGCTAAATTTATTATAGCCATGCTATCTGGTGCAGTAAGACGCCAATATAACCAGATGTTTTGGAAGGAGACACAAATTGCAGAAATCTTAATCTTATATTCACTATTTCACATAATAACTTGGATTGTCTGTTAACTATTTTCGTTCACAGGAACAAATCACACTTAATCGCAAATCTTTAGAAGTATTACAAAGTGAACTGGCATCCAGCCGTACAATGCTGATTAAAGCAAGAGAGGAAATCGTCAAACGATCACGTAACGAAGAACAACTAGAAAAATCAATACAGAAGGTTAAAGTGGAACTTGAACAAACAGTTGTACATAAATCAGCTGCAGAGATAGCCAGTAAAACAGCTATAGCCAACGTAAGGGAAAAAAATGTGGAATTTATTTAGTTTTAGGTGGATTTGTCAATTTTGATGATATGTTAATATGCCTTTAATAAAGCTTATTAATTCTCTTTGATGAATTACTTAACTCAACTCTGTCCAGTCATATTCACGGTATAATACCTAGTAACCACAAAAAAGACGAACTCCTGAATGCGTTTAACGTTGGTTTACTGTGATAAGTGAATTACTGTTACTTTTGAAATGTTACATAAATATATTTTCACTACATCAATGTTTTCACTTATAAGCTGTACTCTTACTTTGCAATGTTGAGTTGATATCTTCCAAAGTCCTGATGGACTTTTAAACAACATAAAATGTGTTGCGTAGGATGTAACATTTCATGCAGACATATATCCTAGTATCATAAAAATAACGCACAAGACAAAATTAGAGGGATATTCTAAAAACACTGGAGATAAGCTGACAGTATTCGTCGTGTTACTCCGCTGGTTACATATAATAATAATAATTTTGCTTTTATTCCAGAAATAGTACTTTGTCGATAATTTAATTTTAATTTTTTAATTTTTGATTACAGCTTGATTCCACACTGTATTTTTGGTACAAGTATGGAATTTTCAGCGTGGATATCGGTAGCCCAAATTTCGCAGGCCGACCATAGATATCAGGTGTGCGCCGACATGGGCTCGAACCTCGGACCATGTGCATGGTTGGCGAGAGTCCTAACCACTGTGCCACCGACGCACATTTCAAGTCTTTGTATTTAAAAAGCTTACTATAGAGCCGGACACCGTTAGTCCTGAAAATGTAGAAAGGCAAACAGTTTAATAGTGACAATTCTGAGTGGTATAGGGTAGACATATTTCTTTACCAATGTAGAAACACAGATGACTTCCACTTACTCTGCTTTATGTAGATTCAGGTTGTCAGTAGATTTCCTGGTGTAATTCAGTGTTCTAGCATCGTGAGTTCACAAGTTCCATCCACGAGAAGTCGATAAGAATTTTTATTTGTTTATTTCTTGATTATACCTCGATTATATGCCGTATTTTTGATACAAGTATGGAAATTTCAGCATGTGATATCGGTAGCCCAAATTTTGTAGGCCTTACCATTGACATCAAGTGTTTGCCAGCAGGGATCAAACCCCGGCCTATGTGCATGGTCAGCGAGAGTCCTAACCGCTATGCCGCCATTACAGGTCAGCTGTAACTTTTTCTATAGCGCTTTCAGTTTCACTTAATAACTGAGGGATAAACTTGGTTCACCATTTCACTGATCTTGTTCACTAATACTTTGCTTTGGTCAAACACGTTTTCATGCTTTTTCTACTGAAATGCTTTGTTCTAATTTATGTACCATTACGCGCCTGAATATTAAAACAAAAAACCACGCATAATTAGAAGTTCAGCATGATGACAAGGAATAAGCGCTAATAGCCGGCGAAGTATTCACCAACCATTCAAATACTGTTATAAGAAAAAGTATAATAAAGCAAACTATCAGACGACACTAAAAAGCAGACCCGCCTAGTGATCTGAGGTCGAGAGTTTTACCCCTGGTGAGGTCATCGGTGCGTAGTGCTGAAGACGTGTGTGTGTAAGCTTGGATGAAACATCTGTCCAGTACTTCCTGGTTTTCAGTGGTTCTCCAGCTGATGTCGTTTCATGATAAAGTCTGACATGAAATTTAAAAACCCCTGAATTATCCTTTGATAAGTATTCCGCATACGCATGATAAGTAATGCGGATTTCCCTGTATATTAAATAGGCATATCAAATTATACTTAAACGATTGCACAGTACTACTTAGTTTCTAGAGATTCTGTACCTGATATTAACTCTTACTTAGTCTATCGGTTAGGATTCCTGGCTTTCACCCAGGCGGCCCGGGTTCGACTCCCGGCGCGTGAGCCATTGCGTTGGTGACGCAGCGGTTAGGACGCTCGCAGACCATGCACATGGTCTGAGGTTCGATCCTCGGCCACTAACGCTTTCCTTTACGTCGCTAAGCCAGAAATAATAATGTTAGTAAAGAGGAAAGGTTAGGCATGAGGCTAGCAACGCCATCCTGTAAAAATAAACACTGCTACGGAAACTTCAAGTCACTAGCTTGAAGCCTACCTATGTTCCACTGGGAATGTGAAGGAAAAATTATTATTATTATTGTTATAACCACAAAATCTTTGTGAATCCTGAATGAATAAATAAAGTTGAAGTACAAAGTTAGAAATTCTCTACTGAAGTAAAGATAATTCAGCTTACATTCTTAGTTCCTTGGTTTGATGTATGACGAATAATAGGAATTATTTCTAAATTGTAATGTCACAGAATTTCCATTCAGTAAAATATATATATATATCTTTTTTGACTTCTAGTCTAAGGAGCTGGAGACTCAATTAGAATCTGTAAAGGCTTCTAGCATGTCTGTACAAACACGTTTACATGAACTAGAAAAAGAATTGGATGAGAATAAAATAAAGAAACTACAATTGGAGGAGAGAATAAACCAGTTGACAGAAAATTTAAAAATCGCTCAAAAACAAGTAGAAGAAAAACAAACGCAAGTAAATGCTTTTTTTGTATACCAGTAAAATCAATAACTAAGAAGGGATTAATTCTTCTCTTCTATTCCTACATGCATACATGTTGTTAACTGTGGTATTTTAGAAATTATCATATGAAATGTAACTGGAAAGGGATTTACTGTTCACGATAGAAAGAAGTATTGGGCGATCTTTGTTTCGGTAAAATATGTGGAATGTAAAAGGCTTATCACTGTGTAATGTAGTAAAATCTGCTTTCAGTTTGCTATTTTATGTACTTAATACAAACCTCACGGAGCAAAATTTATGGGATTTTGTAAACAGCAGTATACTTGTAACAACAAAAGACAAGAGCCGGCAACAGATCATTTTATCACGGAAATCAACACGTATTTATATATATTCCATGTACATTATTATAGCTTATTCATGTAGACGAACGCAGTCTTCTGATTGGCTGTTCTCAAATTTTCTCGGAAAGTGGAGCCATCTATCTGCGAATCATATTTGCCCACGTTAAGTTTGCTGTGATTGGTTGTTGAATCAGCCTTGTTCATATTTTCTCACGGCCAATATTAGTGATCTAGACAATGACGTATATTAATGTCTACCAATTGGCTAGCAGCCTGCTCTCACCACATACTTACTTCAGTTAGTTAAAATCAAATCAATTTTGATTAATGAAAAATATACCTTTACTTTCGTGTCATGCCTTCTATTAAGACGATTTGCATATAAGGTGTACATAATTTAGTCATACAGCGATATCATATTCCGAATAAACATTCTGTCACCAAGTCCCCTATCTTCTGCTGTTACTACAATAGTAACTTATACTCACATTTCAACCGTATTAGACAGATTTCAGTTAACCTATTCAAGGACTAGAGACCAGCATAGTAACCAAGTCAGAAATTAAATACCTAGGCGTCATTCTATCTGCTGATCTTTCCTGGTCGTCTCATATCTTGATGATTGCTAAGAAAATATTCCGTCTTACCTTCTACACCAAGAAGTTAAGACATTCTGGTGTAACCCAACCCTTACTCCTACAATTTGTTAACTCCCGTATTCTGCCTATTATTCTCTATTGGTCCCCACTTAGCTTTTCCAGGTCTGGCTACTGAAGAAAGACTATACCTTATTACGCAGGATGTTAAAGGTTGTCAGCAGGGTAAGCAGTGTGCCAGCTTGTTAATATTCTCGTCGACAGGCACATGGACTCATGTGAAAAATGGGCAAAATCCATTTTATCTGACTCACAACACCCTCTACATTCACAACTCTCCCCTTGTATCTCGTCAGGGAAAACCAGAAGCCTACATAGAAAACTATATGCCCGCACTAGTAAGTACAAAAACTCAACCATGCCCTACTTAGCTCGTGTTCTGTGTGATAAAGAAAGCATTAGGCTTGAAATCTTTTACTTATTAAATAGTCAGTAAAACAACTGGATCTCGTCTTTCCAACTCATATCATTTATAGGTACAACGTTTTTTTCCTTTTCTCCCTCTTTTTTCTGTTATGTGTTGCTTTGTTTCTTTCTTTCTGTTTACGCCAGTAAATATGCTAGAACCTACTTTTCCAACACCTTCTAACACTCTGTTTAATTTTGGCTTTGCTACCAACATGCTAATATGTTGTTGTCAAAACTGACTGAGATAACCTTAATCTATGTAGAACTTTATTTATTGTTAATGTACTTACTGGATGCAATATTGTATTAAAAATGCTGAGAATTCCATTCTCTGTATCGCAAGTACTGTTTTGGAATAAAGCTATTATCTTATCTTATCTTGACTCGTGTAGTAAGTCGAAGTCTACTTATAATAAATCCATTTTCGAAAACCCCTGATTTGAATAGCAGTGATCATCACTAAACTATTCGGATTGCTTTTAACTGGGGGTGTTTTTTGTAGCAAAGTGATTAAGTTTTTATTACTTACCACGAAAAGTCAGACAATGATTGCACGTCTTTCTCCGATTGTATTTTGTTCTTCTGAACCACAGTTGAATCATTCAGATTCAGTTGTCAGTCGTATGACAAAAGAATTCAAAAGGACACAAGTGACAATTGAAGAAAGTGCACAGAAAGTGAACAGCTTATTTGGTCAGTTGAAGGCAACTCAAGAAAAACTAACTCGAACAACTGAAAGCCTAAATGACACTGAGAATAGTAGAAAAGGTTTAATCAAAGAATTGGAAGAATATAAGAGCACTCATCATACACACGACAGTGAAGTAAGCATAATTTTGTTCCTTTACATTCTTCCCAGTGGAACATATGGCTTCAAGCTATGAAAGCTTGAAGTTTCGGCGGCAGTGGTGTTTATTTTTGCAGAAGACAAGAGCCGGCAACAGATCATTTTATCACGGAAATCAACACATATTTATATATATATTCCATGTACATTATTATAGCTTATTCAAGTAGACGAACGCAGTCTTCTGATTGGTTGTTCTCGAATTTTCTCGGAAAGTGGAGCCATCTATCTGCGAATCATATTTGCCCACGTTAAGTTTGCTGTGATTGGTTGTTGAATCAGCCTTGTTCATATTTTCTCACGGCCAATATTAGTGACCTAGACAATGACGTAGATTAATGTCTACCAGTTGGCTAGCAGCCTGCTCTCACCACATAGGAACTTTCAAATTATGTATTCACAAGGTAATTTATTTGCAAACGTAATTTTAAACAACACAGGAAAATAGTCGACTTTCATAAACGGATGCCTCAGATAATTAGAAAAAGCCTATTCTAGTGAATTAATTCCTTAAATATCACTTAATAATTACATATCATATGTTGACTATCATTAGCCATTGTGTTTAAGGTACATTTCTTGAGGTGTTAATTGGAAACTGGTGTGTGTGTCTTATTTCAGTAAGGCTAACAGTGAAGAAAAAAGTAAGTTGATGAACTTTACTCATTATTTTATTCTGGTCTGATTCAGCCGAAGTTGGATACCAAACCAAAAGTCCAAAGAAAACACTTGGTTATCCCTAGTTTTTTTGTCTTACTTAAGTCCAAGGGCATGAACTGAGGATTCACTCCAAATTGTCAACAGTTCACAAGTTCATAAAGTAATCAACTCATCGACTTAAGCACTGTGTTTTCCGTCAAGGGAGTCTCGATTTATTATACTACTTCTATCTACTTTGGACTAGCCTCCCACAAACAAATAATTCTGACTCACAGCAAGGTTACTTAAAAAATCGATTCCGGGTCACTGAGTTGAGAAGCAGCAACATTTGACAAAGTCATATTATCATATTATTATTGCTCCCTTGGGTTCCTAGTGGAACATAGGGCATCAACTGCACGTCTTCATTTGCTTCTGTCTTCTGCTGTATTTTTCGCCTGCATCGATGTAAGTCCATGCTCTTTCACCTCCTCTTCACACGATCTCCTCCACGCCACCCTTGGACGTCCCACACGCCGCTTCACTTTCGAGTTTCACTCGAGGGCTTGACGCGCGATGTCACCTAGCGGTCTCCTCAGCGAATGTCCGATCCATCTCCACTTTCTCCTGCATATTTCTTGGGCGATTCCTTCTTGTTTTGTTTGTTTGTTCCCATAGTTTCTTGTTGGTGATTCTTTCCGGCCCGGCCATCTGATCTACAGTTTAGAGCCAGCGAAGACAATTAGTTGTTGATGTAGGTCTCTGTTATGTTCTAGTTTCCCCGACGCCAAATTGTTATGTACTCATCGCTAAATTATTGTTATGGTCTGGTCGAGAAACTAATAGTCCTGACGCAAGAAGGCGGAAATCAGAAGACCACTAGGTTTGCGATGATACTTCTATTGTCCAAACACAAGGAGACGAAAATAAATGGTCTCACACCAAAGTGGTAAGTAAGTAAAGTAGTTCACACAAATTGTGTGAACGAAATATATATATAGCAAAATATATAGCAGACATGTCAACAACAACCATATATGGATATATGTCACTAAGCAACGGACTGTCAACAAACACTCATATTATATATAATATAAATGGAATATACATTATTAAAGGAGACAAGTTCATACAAGTGAAATGGTCACAGACTAAGCGAGCAAACAGAAAGAGAGACCAACATACACACACACATAAATATATATATATATATGTGGATACATATCACCTCCCCTTTTGAGAAGATGATGATTAGTAGGATGTTTACCTGGGGGTTTATCTGGAACCTTTGGGCTTGTTGTTGACGTCTGTCGTTTCGTCTGCTGTTGGGTTTGCGGCTTCGGCTTCGTCCGGAATTGTCTACATTTTATGCTTCTTGACTGCATTGCATAGAGAATTTAGTGGGACATCAGCCAGATGCAAACGATCGAACCAATCAAGTCCCAAAAGATTTAAATCACTCTTGGTGACGTAGCAAATTCCTGTGAATTTGGTATTGCGGAAGGAAACAGAACATTTGAGTTCACCAATTAGTTTGAGCCGCCCACCACAGGCGCTGAGAAGAGACTGGGAAGTATTGGTGATAGGTGGTCTGCCAATATAATTCCAAAGTTTCTCTGATATAACAGTAATATCAGAGGCGGTATCTAGCTGCAGACGTGTATCATGACCATTCATCTGAAGGTCAATATATTTCCGCATAGCTGGTGTTGTGACTTGACAGGTTGCGCGTAGACTCAATGATCTTTTTGGAGATTTAGGACCAACAGTTTGTCGAGCTTTTGCTGGATTATGATATCTGGGTTTGCGTGGCTGACAAAAACCATTTTTATGACCGATGATTTTGCACTTGCTGCAACGATGATTTTTGTATGGGCAAGACTTTACAAAGTGCCACGCGCCACAATGCCAGCATGGTGATGGTGGGGTCTTCTTTGCAGTATTTTGTGAAGTTGGACGAGTATTGTAGATTTCCGCGGAACATTAGAAGAGTAGGTGGGTCAGGACTGGATGATGAGAGATTTTTGCTCTTTCGTAATGCACGAATATCAGAGCTTCTCGAAGGTGTTGATTCGACCAGGTGTGTGTCTTTCTGCAGATTAATCAGCCGTTGATATTCATCAGCTATGTCATGTAATGTTAACTTGGGATTTTGTTCTAGCTGATTGAGCAGTCGAGTTCGGATATCTGTGAAACGAGGAGATTGGAGACTGCATATGAGAATCAAGGCTTTGAATTGATCATCTGTTAAGGACCTGAGTCGAAATCTCTCACATTCTCGGTTGACTGTGCCAACGTGAGTAAGAAAATCATCATTTTCATTCATTGTCAGCTTGAGGCAACGATAACGTATGCTGAATAATGAGGAGTGGTCTCCAAAATGTTCACGCAGCAGCTTTATTGTATCATCGAAACACTTGTCACGTGGTTTCTGGGGTAAAATTAGGTTGCAGTACCGTTCATATTCTGCCGGACCCAATTTACGTAACAACACTCGCACCTTCCAGGCATCGTCTTGTGAGGCGAGATCAACAGTGAATAAATCCTCATAACGTTGATACCATGTGTCAAAAGTGACATTAGCCTCTGGGTCATAATTGAACTGTGAAATACTGTTCACAATGCCGTCGACAGATGGTAGCATGGTATGATTGGGATTGCTTGAAGGTGAAGCTGGACCAGTCTGTTGGTTGACGAACATTTCCATTAATTTCAATTGTTGTTCAAACAATAATTCCAATTTAGAATAATCCATAGTAAATTGTTATGTTGCTGCTGCTGAGTGGTTAATAGTAGTTTTCCCCGTCGCCAAATTGTTATGTACTCGTCGCTAAATTATTGTTATGGACTGGTCGAGAAACTAATAGTCCTGACGCGAGAAGGCGGAAATCAGAAGACCACTAGGTTTGCGATGATACTTCTATTGTCCAAACACAAGGAGACGAAAATAAATGGTCTCACACCAAAGTGGTAAGTAAGTAAAGTAGTTCACACAAATTGTGTGAACGAAATATATATATAGCAAAATATATAGCAGACATGTCAACAACAACCATATATGGATATATGTCACTAAGCAACGGACTGTCAACAAACACTCATATTATATATAATATAAATGGAATATACATTGTTAAAGCAGACAGGTTCATACAAGTGAAATGGTCACAGACTAAGCGAGCAAACAGAAACAGAGATCAACATACACACACACATAAATATATATATATGTGGATACATATCAGTCTCCAACAGGCTGTTGGAAATATTCTTTGTGACCCACCCGCCAAGTCTCTCATCCGTATAGGTGAACTGACTTACTTGACGTTTGTATTGAAAATCCGAATTTTGTTATTGATGCTGGTTTTGTGACGAAGATTTCCAGATTGATTTCAGGTTGATGAATGTGTTCCTCGCCTTCTCGATTCTCTCTCGATTTGACATCCTCGTCCGTTCCGACTTCCTGTAGTTGAGACAATGCTCCCTAGATAAGTGAGTGAATGAAGTAACCTCTTTCAAATCACTCCCACTTGATGGTGATTGACGCTGGATGTTTCTGCTGTCGTTGTTATTGTTGGTGGTTGGTTATTTTCATAACCTCCGTCTTGTCTATGTTCACACGGAGTCCTGTCTTCGCCGGCTGCTTCTTCGACCAGTTCGTCGGTTTTCGCTTGTAAGTCTTCGATTTTGTGTGACATCAAACATAAATTATCCACGCGCGAAATCCAGGTCTTCTAGGTTTTTCACGTCGGTCCAGGATATCCCTGTCTTCTCGTTTCCCACTGTCTGACGCATAATCCAGTCAGACAACCACAATTAGGAATATCATTCTTGGTGATAATGAGTACCCTTGTGTGACTCCTGTGTTTACTCCGAACGCCTCACTGAGTTTTCCGTTGTGGATCACTTGACATGTGCCGTTGTCGTACAGCTGTAGAATAAGGTTGATGAATATTTTGGTTACGCCGTAGTACTCCAGTAGTTTCCAAATTACTTCACGGTCGACGCTGTTGAAGGCCTTCTCAAAGTCTATAAAGTTGAGGTATAGGTTTGATTGCCATTCCATGCTTTGTTCTGTGATGATGATGATGATGCGTAGAGTTGCGATTTGGTCAGAATATGATTTGCCTTCCCTGAATCCAGCCAACTTGCTTTGGTCGGAGTTCTGTATTCAGTGCGTCCTTTAATCTCTCTAGGATGACCCGACTCAGGATTTTACTTGGCGTCGACAGGAGCATGATTTGACAAAGTCATAGTATATGCCAAAATTTATTTCAGTTACTTTCTACTGACAAATAGTCCTTAGTTAGAGAACTATTCTTTTGTATCTTGCGAAAGACAAGTTTTTTCTCAGTTTTAATTATTACTATTATTTATTTTATTTCCTTCATGTTCCCAGTGGAACATAGAGCGTCAAGCTAGTGACTTGAAGTTTCTGTAGCACTGGTGATTATTTTTACAGGATGGGGTTGCTAGCCTCATGCCTAACCTTTCCTCTTTACCAGCATTATTATTTCTGGCTTAGCGAGGTAAAGGAGTGCCTCGTCGGTGGCTGGGAACACAACCAGTTTTAATTAGATAATTTCAAAGCACAAAACGTAAGTAATAAGTGAATACAAACTATCGAAATAAAAATTGTAGAACTTACTTCATCTCAAAAACGACGTTTCAAGTGAAATACACTTGATCTCTGTGATGAAACAACTTTATTTAACAGATCAACAGATCGATCACTTTTTAATGGTTTCACATTTTCTGTAGACATTTCCCGTTCAACGTTATCTATATCTGACATTATCTCAAAATAATAATGTAGATACTTCAATCCGAAGTATCATTTTAATCTCTTCATCGCAAGGAATAACAGAATTTTTTTTCCTACTAAGGTTCAGTCCATGGAGATTCAAATCAATTATCTACTAAGTGAGCTTGGGCAGATGAACGAACGTCTAACAACAAACCAGAAAGATTGGAGTAATTCTCAATCAGAAATTGAGGCTCTAAGGGCAAGTTCATTGCTTTAAATGATTAAACTTTCGATGTCTGGTAGTTTCTTTCATGTTCGAGAAACTACTGAACTTAGAAATTTGTGAAAAGTGAGATTGTGACCCAATATCTGAAGTAATGGAATTACCAATACACCTTCAATTAATCACAGCCTAGAAGTAAACTAAACTTCATGCAAATATTTTTATTAAGTGAGAATAACATTAGGCTATTTAGAAGTATGATAAAATTCTACCCTAACATCTGAAAAAGTCCAAGACTCAGTGTAAACACACAGAGAGTAGGGTGGCATTCCACTTCCGATTAACTTCAGTTGAAGTAATTAGTCCACTTCATGAATTTCGACAGAAAATGGTGAGAAGATGTAATTTCTTCTGAAGCGTGTAATTCGCAGGACAAAATTCGGATGTTCTTATCACACACGAACTTGTCAAATATGCCTACATAAAAAGGTGACGGAGTAGCGTAACTGACCAAAAATTTATCAACATTGGTTAAAATGTTTAAGGGTCATGATTACAGATAACAGGTAAGCAAATGGGGTGAGGAAAAAAAAGGAGTTGAATTCGCGGACTGCAAATTGCCCATAAAGTCTCATAATTCTATGCTGAAAACAAATAATTACAGTTTCAGTGTGTATTCACACTTGTTACGAATACATGACATAAATATTTTGTGCTAATACATTACAATATTGTAAAGTTAGCCGATAAATATTCACATTCGTCCTTTACACAGTCCATTATGGATAAGATTTTATTTTTATTAAATCACACAGTGTTGTACAGTGATATTAACTGATGACCACGTTTCGAGCAGAAACTATTGCCAATCATAATCATATCAAGTCACTCACTTGATATCAAGTGGCTCACTTGAAATCACGTGCAACCAAGTAGATTGTAAATAAGTTACAGGTTAAAATAAAAAGTGAGAAATGCATACATAGTACATGGTTTATTTGAGGCAATGTTTTACACTGACAGGCCATAATCACATGGCGAGTTAAAATGAAGTGGCATATTACGGAAACCAGAAAGTGTGTGAAACACTTTCGTTTTTTGCTCAGCCATTTTTAACATTTTTGTTTTTCCAGTGTTTAACTACAAAGTCCTCGTGTGATTAGCAATTTATTAAAACAACTACAGAGATTTCTTCATCATCTTATTCTCACGTCTATACAACTCAAACTTGGTTTGCATGCAATAAATACAACTGTGGGAACAACAAGAGTGTATAAAACAGATTAACGAAAGGACTGTTACATGTGTAACGACGGAAGACAAGGGTTGGACAACAGATCGTTTATTTAGAAAATCAAGAGATATTTATAGACTATTATGTATATTATTATTCGTTATTGTCAGCGGAGAAGTAACGTCTTCTGACTGAAAGTTATTTTGCCTTCTCTTTGTGGCCGTTTCGTAGGCGGTCCGGTAATATACCTGAGAATCGTATCCGCCCACGCTCAGTCCGCTGTGATTGGTTGTTGAGTTCCTCAAGGTTGGGCCTTGTTCTTGTTTTCTCTCCTAACTCCAATTCGGGACATAGATATTAACGTAAATTGGTGTCTACAATTTTGGCTTGCAGACAGCTCTCACTTCATAACAAATATCAGTCAATTGAAATTATCGCTTCGGATTTCATTTAGAAGAAATCTACTTGGGCAAACAACACTAATCATGACTATCGGTAAAATCAGTGTTCTCCAAAAGTTTTATTTGAGAACAAGCATAAATGTTGTAATAATGGATCACCATTTAAGTCTGTGGTTATTGAAATTCACTTAAAATCAAATTAGTTTATACTAGGCAGAAAATGGGACAGAATTTGTGACTTCAGATGTTCATATGACGATTTTAGAATAAGTCATAACTACTACACCACTACGTCTTCTCCTAAGAAATCTAAAGCTATAATCGCAGTCGTCTGGTTAAACTTAAACGTTTGAGTTTAGCGTAAAGTTCAAAGTACAAGATTTGTCTAAAACACAGTACTATATGTGCATATAGGTATAATAAGTAAAAATACACGCAACTTAATTTGTGAGGTGTTCAAGGTGTATATGCTAGGTAGTACTGGACATTATGTTTCATCCTAGTTCAGGTTTTGAACCCAGGACTTCCAGGTTATAAGGAAAGCCCATAGATCATCCAGGCACTGAGGCCGATCCAATGGCCAGCCCATGGATTCTAACTTCTACCAATTCGTGATTTCAGCGCGACCACTGGCTAATATCGTTGGTGAGTATTTGTCCTCACTTGCGATAGAGTAGATGTGGTCACTGGTCACTGTTTTCCACAAATACTATCCGGTTTTGCAATGGCTCTCAAACTGATATCAATCCAACTCGAAATAGATCAAATCCCTACCAACAAACTTATGAAAAGACTGACAAAGCTGTATCAAAACTGATCTACATTTGGAAATAAACAATGCTCGAATGTATAAATCCAGAATAAAACGATTCTAATAAGCAATGTCCAGAAGACAGTGGAACATCAAGAAGAAATGCACGTCAAATAAATTATATTCGTCAATTTATTTTGATTCTTATAACAAGTGTATGTTAAATCAGCTGACTAGTTCATAGGAGATTATTTCTTATATGAGATTTCCTCTTACATGCAGAAATTTCTTTTCATGGTTGTTTTACTCTAAATGACTGTGTTATATGTTGAGAATGAAAGTGAGGTAGGCACTTCTCTGCATAATAATAAAGCTAAACATCACAAGCGTCTGTCAACATGAAATATGAGTTACAGGATGTCATCATGAGTTGACATTGGTTAGAGAACCATTGGAAAACCTGGGAGTACTGGACAGCTGTTTCCGTTGTCCTAGTTTGGGACTCTTCAGCAGTACGCAATCACCTGATTAGTTTCGAACCCAGGACCTTCTGGTTACAAGGCGAGCTAGCTCGTTTACCATTAAGCCATTGAGACCCGATCCAATGGTCCTTGAATTCTAACTTATGCCAATTGACGACATAGCGTGACCACTAGCCAATGTTTTCAGCGAGCATTTGTCCCAGTGGCTTAATGGTCTACGAGCTAGTACGCCTTGTAACGAGAAGGTCCTTGGTGCGTACTGATGAAGAGTCCTGAACTAGGACGAAACAGTTGTCCAGTACTCCCAGATTTTCCAATTGTTCTCCAACCATTGTCAGCTCATGATGAGACCCTGTAACCAATCAAATCTCTACAAACCAACACTTGAAATATGAGTGTAAACTACTTATTTAGTTTTAAATCGGTTTCAAGTAAAACAGTTTATCCAAACAAATAAGCTCACGTGTGATACTGGTCACAAACTTGACTGTTAAATCCTTTACTAAAAAAACTGTTACAGTTGCATTCTCATTTTGACTGAAACTGTTGTTAGCACTACTGTAAACTGATAAGCAATGTCACGTTTATCTTAACTACTGTTCTGTATGTAGTGCTAAGGAAAAAGCATGTTCTCCAGAACTAGTCACCCGTTTATTTCTTCCTGTACAGCCACATCTATTTCAAAGAAGCTGGGAGAACCTTTATGCATGCATGTAATCCTTGCTATACAGTGATTGTCTTTGAATTCATACACGTGTCAGAACTAATAAGATCATGTAGTATCAGTCAGTCAATCAGTCAACCCTTCAGTCAATAGTAAAGTTTAGCCTCCTTATACAGTTTCAAAATGTGTACCAAAACTAGCTATCAATGAACATTTAACTTTGTAAACAATATACTTTCCCTTCAACAGTGATTTAATTCGTGTTTTAGAAACAAGCAATTGAATCATCACTTGAAGTGAAACAGTTAAACACACTTCTGCATGAAAAACAAATGAAATTGGAACATACAGAAAGACGATTAACTGAAATGGAAAGCCATTTGAATTCAGCCGAACAATATACCCAGTCATTGAGTTCAGCTAACGAAGATTTAATGAATGAATTGAAAAATCGTACTAATGAATTAGAAAAGCTACAAAAGGAAATCAAGCAAAATATGACAGGAATTCAAAATTCGGAGCTTATGGTAAACAAATTAAAAATAGTGACTTTAATTTTTTCTTTCTGTTTTCCCCTTTTATGTGTTTTGTTTTGCTGTATATCATGTTTCGTGTACCTGTATTATGGCTTTCAATACATCCTGTGCCCAAAGTTCAACATATAGTTAGTTGTTAGGTGGTTGGGGGGTTCGATCCCACGCCGATTCAATTCTCGCTTAGGCGGCAATAAAACTATGAATGTTCACATCATGAGGAGACCAGCCTTATTCTGTAAAAGTGTACACCAGTGCTACCGAAACTTCATAGTTGAGGCTTGAAGTCCATTAGGGATAAAATTTTATTTTAATAAAATTACACAGTGCTGTACAGTAATATTATTTGATGTGACCACAAGTTTCGAGCACAAACTATGGCCACTCATTATCATATCAAGTCACTCACTCACTCACACAACTTTCTCCCTTCGTTTATATGCATGAGTAAAAACTGATGATTAGACATTTGAATAAAATCAGTTTGAGATAAAGTATATTGGGAAATGATTTTAGTGTTATCAATCAAATACAATCAGATGGGAAATTAGACGAGTGTTTTTATAGTTAAAATAAATAACTTGTTAGAATGTTGTGATGTACGTGAACTGAATTGAAATAGAATACAATTTAAGATTATTTATTATCCTCCTCTGATTTCACTGACTGACTGATTGACTGACTGAATCACTGATGGTAATAATATCTTCCATATCTCTGGTATTTGCATTGAGTCATTTCGATTGTGCATGTGTTGGGTGTAGACTGGATGAACCAGGCAGGATTCAGTAATCAACCTCTCTCTCTCTCTCTCTCTCCACCTACCTAGATTACTTCTTAGAATTTTAACCCTCTCCCACCATGCTATTTTGTGATTGTGTGTTAATGCATGCATGCAGTGCAATGTGGTGCTGAGCTTTTTTCCAAATTACTCATCTTCTCGGGGTCAACCATTCTTACCTTAGCTAAATTCTTATGTTCCGACAATCTGATTACCCCCGATCTACTAGTTTGTCCTGTGTATGTAGTCGACCTAACTCACAGTCAGTGTAAGGTATTTTGTAAATTATATTATTTTGTGTAATTGGGTCAACCGACAGGGTCCTTTAACCTACAGAGCTTGTCCTATCTGAGTGAGTTTTTAGGTTTGAATGCCACTAGCCTAATTCCTGCTTTGTTGAGAATGCTATGTAGGGTCTCAGATGTTTCTTGATGAAGCCCTATGCTCCACTGGGAACTTGAAGTAATGAAATAATAAGTGCTAATTGAATATTAGCTGAGTCATTAGTATGTAAACATATTGTGTGAAATATATATTTGTGATGGATCTCAATGATGTTTGATCCTAAGCAAAATGATTATCATGACAAATAACTTTAAACGATACATTAGTCGAAGATATGAAGTTAAACATGCATTCACAATACCAAAACAGAAGAAAGTGGAGAGCACAGGTGATAGAGAAAAAGTGCTTGTAGATATTTCCCTGGAAATTCCTGTTTCGTAAATAAGCCAGTCAAATTTTTCCATGTCTTTTTGTGTTTAATATTCGGTGAATTATGTACATGAAATCCAGCCCGAAAATATAAGTGTTACGCTATTAAATTTTGAAATCATTAAATTAGAATTATCTGCATCGAAGAGATAATGAAAAAACGGTTGTGAATGTGGTCAATAGTGTCAACATCAAAGCTAATATATCATTGAGACTGCCAAGAACAGAACATTTATTATTATTATTATATATCTTTTAATTCCTAGAGGAACATAAAGCTTCAGCCGCACAAGTCCCCATTGCCTTCTCTTTTCTGACAACTGTTTCACTCCGCTCCAAGTCTGACCACATGCTTTCATCTCCTCCTCACATGACATCCTCCAAGTCAACCTACACTTGCACTGACGACCAACTCGCCACCCGCTTCCCTTTCGGCCTGGTTCCACTCGAGAAATGACTTGTCTAGTGATGTCACTCAATTCATGGTTTCCTCAGAGAATGGCCAGCCAATCCATCTCCATTTCTTCCTGTCTATTTGTTTCACAGTCGGTTCCTGCTGTGTTGGTTGGTTCGCTGATTGACAGAGATCCCACCCTGTTGGTGATATTTTCTGGCCGGCCATCTGATCTTGAGTGGTATTGAGCGAAGAAAACTGCTGATGAAGGTCTGAAGTTTGTTTGAGATGCTCTTCATGACGCGCTGGCCAAGTCTCTGATCCGTATAGTGAGTAGCACTGACTGGCTTCACATTCGAGTTGAAAATCCGGATCTTATTTTTGATGCTGACCAGTGAGTGATTTTGTCCTCCACGCAGACTGAGGGGTAATGCAGGCTTGTCTTGCTTTTCCGACTCTGGCCTTGATATCCTGGTCCGTTCCGCCGGCCTGTAGTTGAAACGATGCTACCCTTAAAAAAGAATATATATATATATATGTATATAAATTCAAGAGCAAGGATTACACTTTGATAAATAACTCTAATTCACATGTCCACCTTTATTAGTTTCTTGTGAGTATAACGTACTCGATTACGATTCTGCCTCAAAACATTTATGAATAATTTCTTAATTGCTTTTTTGTTTAATTTTTTTCCTTTAACAGATACAAGAATTAGAATTCAGTGTCCAACAATTGACAAAACAGTTAGAACACTCAGAGAATTTGCGTGTTGAGGCAGAAAAAGCAAGTAATCATGCTGTTAGTGAATCAGCTGCTGTTAAAATTGAATTAGCTAAAAAAGATGAACAAATAGTCAGCTTACAGAATACTTCAGAAACTATAACTCAAAAGTTAAAATCTCTCGAACAGACATCTAATCAAACTGAACAGATTATAAATAAATACATCAACTCAGTAAGTGTATGCTCTCATGCTTTTTTTTCTTAGCTCAGTCGTACCAATTTTTGTCTGCGTCTTCCAGATAGTGTACTATTTTCAGGGAAATGATACAAAGAACAATGAACACAGCCACTTATTCTCCTGTTCGATTACTACCCTTATGAATCTTTACTGCACAAGTTATAATTTTTTCTCAAGTTAAAAAAAAAATGTTCCTCTCATTGTATAAATAATCGCTTTTGATTCGCTGGAGGAACCGATTGTGAAACAAATAGGCAGGAAGAAATGGGATGGATTGGACTGTGACCATACTCTGAGGAAACCATGAATTGAGTGACATCACTAGACAAGTCATTTCTCGAGTGGAACCAGGCCGAAAGGGAAGCGGGTGGCGAGTTGGTCGTCAGTGCAAGTGTAGGTTGACTTGGAGGAGGTCATGTGAGGAGGAGATGAAAGCATGTGGTCAGACTTGGAGCGGAGTGAAAATGTTGTCAGGAAACAGAAGGCAATGGAGACTTGTGCGGCTGAAGCTTTATGTTCTTTTAGGAATTAAAGGATATAATAATAATAATTCTCTGGAAGGTAAGAGTTGAAATCCAAGCATTGACTCAGTGTGACCTTACACACATCAGACGATTCGATTAAATAATAATATGAATAAAGCAAGAACAACAGTGGTTTTTGCAGTATATAATATGGTACCATCATTTACTTCTTTGGGTTCTCATCAGCAGCTGACAGCCTAAACAGATTATTATTATTCTTAAGTTTATTTACAGAAAAACTTTTTAACACACCTGCGAATTTCAGGCGATTTCAGTTGACAGGAGGTTCTGAACTTAGTGTGAACAGTGCTCCAAAAATTCCCCTATACAGTTTTTACACAAGAAGTTCAATTTTAAACAAAGTAATTGTCTGCATACAATGCTAAAGGAGTTGAATCTGTGTGTGCGTCGGTTAGGACTCTCGCCGATTATGCACATGGTCCAAGGGGTTCGATACCATGCCGAGGCACACCTGAACTCTATAGTCGGCCTGCAAATTTGGGCTACCGATATTACATGCTGAAAATTCCATACTTGTACCAAATAAATTCGTGGGTGGAATCATGCTGTAATCAAAATAATAATAATAATAATAGGGGTGAGTGGTAGGTAGATGAGGGGATGAGTAACTAATAAATTGGATGGCAGTGTACTGAGTTCAACTCAAATCATAGAAACAAGAGACAAGCATAATTACACATACAGGTTCAGCAGAAAAACTGAAAATCAGGTTTATCGACTAAAAGTGTAGTTATATTTAATATTGTGTGTGAGATATGACGTGACAAATGTGGGAATGAATATTTCTCCTTATTTTGTATTTTCATGACTATATAGTCATCGCAAGTTTATGGATTCAGATTTCAGGAGTGATTCACTGAAGTAAACCTTAATTTTAATCACTGTATTGAAGTAAAACTGTCAGTCAGTCCTCCTTGCAACTTGTTAAACACAGTCCCATTCTTCGTTTGTTTTTTTTCAAAAAGTCGCCTGTACACATTGAAAACCTGCTATCGCAAATAAAATTGGATTGTTTGCAATTATTAGTGTTCTCTGAGCTCCTTGGTTTAATTGCGGAGCTTTCATCGTCTTTCTGGACGACATCTTTAGCGCAGTATTTAGGATAAAGTGAAATGATTTAAATTTCTCCATCAGTGATATAATTACCTCTCCCGGTAACCATCTTTAGATATGTAATGACCGTTTTCTATTGATTGGGATTTTAAACTTTCTGGTCACCTGATTTACTTTTTATTAGTTGGTATATTTCATCTATATTAACGAGTTTATTAATTGCATTTTCGTTTGAGTACCAGGCCTTTAGGAATTTCCTGGAACTTTTGGTGTTTCCTCTGTTTAGGATTTCGACATTACCCCAATCAAATCGATGTCCATAATCGTCTATATACATTGATACTAAAGAATTTATATCATGTCTTTTCACAGCTGATTTGTGTTCCTGGATTCTAATTCGAAGGGGACGCCCACTTTGGCCGATGTAATGTCTGTTACAGTTCATACAATTTATTGTGTAAATGGTGTTAATTTTATCTCCCTTTTCTATCGAATCTTTTGGTTTGCATAGTATCGAATTAAGCGATTCGGCTGGTTTGTGTGCTACATCTATATCAAACGGTTTCATTATTCTAGCCGTTATTTCAGAGATATTTCTCATGTATGGTAGGATAAATTTATTTTTGGTCTTTCGTGATGTTCTTTGTTGGTGCTTTGATTCGACTTTAAACACATTTGATGAAATTTTTGGATAACCATTCTTTTTGAAGACCGTTTGTAAGTATTTCTCTTCCATTCTTTTCAACTCTGGTGTGCTACAATGTGTTTAAACTCTTCTAAACAATGTCTGCACACAGTTTCTTTTGTAAGTAATTTGATTGTTGCTAGTATAGTTATATATTTGATCTGTGTGCGTTGATTTTCTATATACATGTGTTTCTAAATTTCCTGTGTTGGATCTCTTGATCAAGACGTCTAAAAGTGGGATTTCGTTATGTAATTCTTCTTCTCTTGTGAATTTGATGTCTTCAAATACGTTGTTTATTAATTTATGGCTATATATATACTAAATCATTTCTCTTAATTATTACAAATGTATCATCAATGTAACGTACCCAGATTTTCGGTCTATAATTATAGGTAGGAAGGCCTATTAATTCTAATCTTTGCATAACGGCTTCATCTATTAATCCTGATATGGGCGATCCCATTGGTGTTCCTTTTATTTGCTCATATATTTGAGTATTGAATTGGAAGTATGTTGTAAGGCATAATTTTATGAGTTCTATCCAAGTTGAACATTGCATTCTGATGTTTTCATCACTATAGAGTAATCGTTGCATAGTTTCTGTTGCTAGTTTGGGCCTAATTGAGGTATATAATGCTGTGACATCAAAGGACACCATTATTTCATTGTCTTCTACCTGAATGTTTTTGGTTTTCCCAAAAAATTGTATTGGATCCGCAACTAAAACAGCCAGCTCAGAGAACACTATTAATTGCAAATCATCCACCTGAGTTACAAATCTTTTCTATTATTTCAAAATTGGATTGTCGCAAGTTTCAAATCTACCCAATAAATTACTTTCCGATACAAATGAATGAAACAAGTTATGACTAGCAGTATTGCTCCATGTAACACTATCCCATAAAACCTACCTCTAAAAAGAAATATAATACTGTATTCTTGACAGAATTTTTTGAGATGTGGTGGTGTCTTTGCTAACAAATGCGTGACTTTTAGTATGGTAGCTGTGGACTACACTGACTCCTAGCTTAGAAATAGGAAGTGAAGAGGTAGAGCGTGTTGACCGCTTCACTTATTTTGAGAGTTACATCAGCCAGCGTCAACGGGATGATCGCTGACGAAATCTCAGCACAGATACAGAAGGCTAGTATCGCATATGCCAGTTTACGCCGCCTATGGCTTAGCAGACGTGATGTCCGGCTGGCTGAATGGCTGGCTAGCTGTCGACCAAGAGACGTGTGTACTGCTCAGAAGAAGTTCGCTCTGTCCTCCTTTATGGTTGACTGTGAGTCACTAGTGACCATTCAGAGTGGAAGACATGAAAAGCCTAGCTAGCTGTCTTTGATCATAGATGTCTGAGTTCTATCTCCAGTGTTAGGTGATAGCGGTAATAGAGTGAGTAATATTGAGGTTAGGCATCAGTGGAGTGCTAGGTGAGGAGGGGAAATCAACAATAGACGAGGTTGTGAAATTACACTGATTGAGATGGTTAGGACACGTGTTACGGATGCATTCCTAGCCATCCATTGCCTTCCTAGACCACGCTCAATGTTAGCTGAGATAGGATCGATGAGTTTGGAAAGGAGCTAACAAGCCAAAACATGGTTCCTTCAGTCAGTAAAACCCACAACAGTTAGTTTAAGTCAGACATGTAGGGAGATGTAGACACTTCCTGGTTGGGACGTTCAAAACTGACTACTGGAGGCAATCGATGATATGACTCTAAATCATAGTGAATGCCTGATGCAGAGATGCATTGACTTTTTGCGATTTGTTTATATCCAATAAAACTATGTTGTTCTTCGTTATTACTATTGCTTTTTGCCTCATATCTATGTTTACTGTCTCTGTTTTGCATTTCTTTTTTACTTTCTTCTCTGGGTTGGTGTGCTGAATGATGAAGTGTGGAGACTTGAACTGTTGCACATCGATGCAAAGTTTCACGTTGAAACCAGTCAGTCAGTGGAATTTTATACATCCTCTTGTAATTTGAATAATAAAAGACTCTTCCAGTTAATTCTGTTGTATAAAGTGTCTCAATATTGTTTGTTTGTTTCGTTGTTTCTCTTTTTTCTGTCACTTCTGAAGGAAATTGAAAAAGATAATATGATTCAACGACTTCAAACAGAAATGGATCATATACGTCATCAGTTAAATGAAAATGAAACAGAACTACAGGATAAAAATTCATCAATTAAATCACTTACTAATGAGCTGGCAGCTGTGAAGTCCCAATTATCAGAACTAATCCTGCATAGGAATTCAGAAAATCTGGCGCATAAACGTACTGAAGTAAGTCGAAGAATTTAGATTTATTACTATTATTATTGGAAACGGTGTGAAATCATTTATCATTTTGGAAGAGTGCAATCAAACATAAACACACACACACACTGTAGCACTCCTGTGTTGAAGAAAATAAAGGAAAAAAACCTTCTAATTGTCTTCTAAAACAATGGATATCCTTACATTTCCATCGAAAAGTGTATTTAAATTCGAGTCATAACACCAAAAAAAAAAACAAGAAGCCATCATCAAAGACTATGAGAAAATTCATTTTACCACATATATAATGAAAAGAATCTCTGAAATAACAACTAGAATATTGAAACAGTCTGATATAGATATATAGCATACAAGGCAGCCAGCCAGCTCAATCACTTCATTTGACATTGTGCAAACTGAAAGATTCAACAGAAAAAGGAGATTAAATTAACACCATTTACAAAATTAATTGTATGAACTGTAACCAACACTACTTCGGGCAAAGTGGGCATCCCCTTCGAATAAGAATCCAGGAACACAAATTAACCGTGAAAAGACGTGATTTATATTGGTTTCAGGATTTCATCATGAGCTGACATTAGTTAGAGAACCATTGGAAAACCTGGGAGTACTGGACAGCTGTTTCGTCCTAGTTTGGGACTCTTCATCAGTACGCACGCACGCACCGTGATTCGAACCCAGGACCTTCCGATTACAAGGCGAGCTCGTATACCATTAAGCCACTGGGACCCGACCCGATGGTCCTTGAATTCTGACTTCTGAAGAGTCCCGAACTAGGACGAAACAGCTGTCCAGTACTCTCAGGTTTTCCAATGGTTCTCTAACTAATGACAGCTCATGATGAAATCCTGAAACCAATCAATCAAATCCCTACAAACCAACACTTAAACATGATATATATATATTTTTAGTATCAATGCATATAGACAATTACGGACATCAATTTGATTGGGATAATGTCGAAATCTTAAACAGAGGAAGCACCAGAAGTGCCGGAGAATTTCTAGAAGCTTGATACTCAAACGAATATGCGACTAATAATAATAATAATAATAATGATTTACTTTATTCCAAAAACAGTACTTGTGATACAGAACGGAATTTTCAGCATTAATCGCAATATTGCATCTAATTTCCTCAAATTATAATTAAAATCAATCACACAGAAAATTTTCCACATTTACAATAGAGGTAGTGTCAAAAATATGCAGCATATAAAATGGAAATAGCAATAATATTGATAACAGCTAGGGTAATAATAATAAGAATACAAGTGAAAATTCCCGTTGGCTTGTGTCACACAGTATTGGCAATGTGGTATAGAAATCCTAACATGTTTAAAAATATTGAATATAATGTTCTCTTTACATGATGGTGATGGTGAGGGGAAAAACAAAGATTACAGCAGTCATGGAGATAAGTTGGTGTTTGCAATTATGAGAGTAAAACAGAGAAGCAACAGGACCATAAATATAATAGAAATAATAAAAGTGAAACTTGAAGGTATATAAGGATGGATGGAGGAAATTGTTTATTTACTAGATGAAAAAAGGTTAGTTAATTCTTGCTTGACACTATTTTCATCACATAAAATACGTTCCAAGTATGGTATCATAGAATTTCTATAATTAGACGTGTGAGCATACAGTTTTCTAAAGTTACTCCTTGTTCTGCCTGAGGAGATGCAAGGTGAAAGCTGAGGGTAAAGCGGATGCTCCAAGTCAGACAAAATCCCTTTAGCAAATTTATTGCACGAAGTCAAGTGCCTGTCGACAACGACGTTAACTATGTGGTCCACTGGGACACCACTCACCCTACTGACAGTCTTCAGTATTCTACGAATTGTGACATAGTCCTTTTTAAGCAGCAAACCAGGAAAGAATAAGCAGGGGTGAACAATAAAGAAGAATAGGTAGGATGCAAGAGTTTATGAACTGTAAGAGGAGGGGTTGAGTTATACCTGAGTGTCTAACATACACACGTTAATATACACCCAAAATATACCAACTAATAAAAAAATAAATCATTTGATGTGAAAGTTTAAAATCCAAGTCAATAGAAGATGACCACTATAGATGTTAATCAACCATACCAGTCACGAAGATGGTAGCCAGGAGACATAATTCTATCATTCATGAAGAATTCAAATTAGTTCATTTTATACTAAAAACTCGTACTGAAGATGTTGTTCAGAAGGATGATGAAAATTTCACAAGCAAACCAACCAACCAGCGCAGATAACACAATTCCAAATCACCCATCTGTGGTACAAATATTCTCTATTATTTCAAAAACTTTGATAGCGTGAAATATTCCCATTTTATGAATTAAAAGTCATTCTGAACGAAGAATATTCTTTTCAATCATTTCTCTTCAGGTTCTTACAATTATAAAATATAATATTTGTGGTCGTTACAATAATAATGGCCAGTTTGCGGTGGATACATTTTTAACGTAGAGTAACAGATTAGTTATGGGGTGTCAAAATAAATAGTCATATTTGTGTGACAAACGTCGTGCTAGGCTGAAATCGATTAGAAAATATTGCAAAATGGGAGACAATGGTGGTGACTAATCATAATAATCACGATCAGACAGGTTCGTCTACGGGTTAGAGAACACTTACCAGTTTGGTTCAGCGGGGGGGAAATTAATAAAATAATAATAAACGCGATGATGATAAGTTTTGACGATTTTGTTAATGCTTCGAGCAAAAGTACTCCCTATGGGTTTTTTTTCCTTTACGTTCCCAGTGGAGCATAGGGCCTCAAGCTAGTGGCTTGAAGTTTCTGTAGAAGTGGTGTTTAATTTTTACAGAATGGGTTTGCTAGCCTCATGCCTAACATTTCTTCTTTACCATCACATTATTTCTGGCTTAACGAGGTAAAGGAGTGAGTCAGCCGGTGATCGAACCCCGGACCATATGCATGTTCGGCGAGCGTCCTAACCGCTATACCACCGACGCACTTGCAGGGGGGAAATTAAGTGCATAAAAAGCTCGATCCTGTCACACTTGGTCAATACTGGACATCGCATCGACGTCAACACAGCTTTCAGGGTTGTATACAGAATTCCGAAGTCGTTATCACGCACAGTTTGCTTACGTCTCCTACACATAGCTGAAGCTGTTGCAATAAGATCGACTAAACCGGAACTTTGTATCCAAAAAGTACACGTCCAGATGCTGTTCCTACCGTAGCCAAACCTGGATTAAAGATTTTTCTTCTGACCAAGAGTGCTTCTTCCCCTTAACCCTCTTGTTTTTTCCTTTTTTCCTTTGCTTATTATTATAAATATTATTATTATTCGTCATAATTTATGCCCTTTATGTAAACATTCCCTCAATACTATCGAATTTCCATTTATACGGACTTACTATTAGTGATAATATCTCTTTTCTCAATGTATGGCTCCACCTGTTTCATTTAATATATTCGTTATCACACTATGAACCTCTCATTCCAGTCTTACTATATCCTGTTTAAGACAAAACACTTTGTACTAGCCACTCACCTGACACCTTCGATAACCTTGAACTGATTTGTCAATTTTACTACCCCACACTCTAAAAATCTATTATGATTAATCACCACCATTGTCTCCCGTCTTACAATATTTTCTAATCGATTTCAGCCTAGCACGACGTTTGTCACACAAATATGACTATTTATTTTGACACCCCATAACTAATCTGTTATTCTACGTTAAAAATGTATCCACCGCATAACTGGCCATTATTATTGTAACGACCACAAATATTATATTTTATAATTGTAAGAACCTGAAGAGAAATGATTGAAAAGAATATTCTTCGTTCAGATTGACTTTTAATTTCAAAAACTGTTCGTCTATGTAGATACAGTTTGTCATGAGCATACAATTAGGATACCCTAGTCCACTTTTTAAAGCAGAAGCATTTGCTTTAAATTCACTTATATGCATTAAAAGATACGCTACAGAGGAAATCTAGGTTAGAGGGTGTGACGCCCCCCCCACCACCACGTCATTCTTCCATTATAATATAATGTATATAAACGAATAGCAGGACAACGATGAAACAGCTACCGAAATCAGTATGATGATAATATTAATCATACCTGAATGCTAAAAATCCCCTTATAAGTTCTATTTGCTTGACACAGTTATGTTGTTATGTTTGAAAAGTGAATCTACAGGTTCTATCGCTTGGCCGTAAATTTTGTGATAGTCATGTAAAAATTAATAAAATGGACGCACAGATTTAGTTCGAAAGTCTATATACCCAAACGGAAGGCCTAACCCCTTCATCAACGAAAGATGTTGAAAGACTCAAATCAGCACTGGTCGATTGTTACTATTATTATATGAACAGTAAACGCAATTCGTATAGTATCTTAACCAAGAAACACAGAGAAGCTCTGGATAATCTACGCAAAAATGAAAATATAATAATAGCAAAACCGGATAAGGGCTCAGGAGTGGTTATCATGAACAAAACGGATTGCTTTGAGAAGATGAATACCATTCTTAATGATGATCAAAAATTCCAAAAAATTTCCTCTTCTCTAGATCCGATTGAAAGGATAGAGAAACAGCTAACGGAAACATTGAAGCGACTGAAACAACAAGGGTTCATCTCACAGAGTCAGTACACATCCCTTCAACCCACTGGAACTTTTACACCCAGACTATATGGCTCGCCTAAAGTGCACAAAGATGGTGTACCGCTTCGACCAGTGTTAGATATGTTAAATTCACCATACCATCCTGTAGCCAAATGGCTAGTCGAAATCTTACAGCCGCTTCATACTGAGTTAGTGAAACACAGTGTAAAGGATACTTTCGGATTTGTGGAAAGGATAAAAGATTTAAATGTTGACAATAAATTCATGATATCATTTGACGTATCTTCCTTATTCACCAATGTACCACTTATGGAAACAGTGGATTTTGTGTGCGAAGAACTTTAACGACAAAACATCGATGTCAGCATCATTTATGAAAGAGCTTCTCTTGAAATGTACAATGAATGTCCACTTTTTATTTAATAAGGAACTATATAGACAAATTGATGGTGTGGTAATGGGGTCACCACTAAGTCCCATTCTAGCCGACATTTTCCTTGCGAAACTGGAAAATGGGCCTCTGAAGGATGTTTTTAGTGAATTCGAATTTTATTGTCAGTACATGGATGATACTTTTTTGATTATGAAAAACGAGAAGGAAGCAAAGAGCTTACTGGATAAATTTAATGAGGTACATCCTGCAATAAATTTTACCATCGAGACAGAAAGAGAATCTAGTATTCCATTTTTGGACGTTTTTATGATCAGAAAAGAGGATGGTACAATAAGAAGTGTTTATAGAAAACCTACATCAACGGGCCAGTACACATATTTTCTCAGTTTTGTGCCCTTGAAATACAAACGCAATTTGATAAAGTGCCTGGTTCACAGAGCAGGAGCGATTTGCTCGGACGAATGTCTTGATGAAGAACTGAATAATATTAAACGGTTGCTAAGAGAGAATGGTCATCCTAAAAAGTTCATTGATAAGAATATGAATTTGAAACCAAAGCAGATAAACCAGATAAACCCCGAAGAAAACACGCTACTAATCATCAATCTTCTCAAAAAAGGGGAGGTGATATGTATCCACATGATGCGTGTTTGTTTTTGACAGCATTATATTTTGCTGTGTGTATACGGATCGATATACCATTATAACTGACATTACGCTTTTGTCTGTCCACTAATTAAATAAACATGTATGACTTTATTATCACATGACATTACAACCAATCATGGTAATATGTTATCTTATGGGATCATGTGTATTAGTCATTTTCATATATACTCCTGCTTTATCATTCTTTTTCATTCTGGTTCCCACGTTTCGTACACTACGTACCATTTCACTCACACTCTTGTGTGACATTTATTTTCTTTTTGTCTTGGAAAATACAAAGTATCATAGTAAACCTGGTGGCTTTCTGGTTTCCCTCTTTCCGCGTCAGGAATATTAACTACTCGACGAGTACATAACATGTATTTCATAAAGTACACACATTGAAAATTGTCAGCAATCATAAGTAAGGAAGTGTGCAAAATTCTCCAGGGGTTGTCATGACTGCTTCCGTCTCGCCTATATATATATTGAATTCTGGTAGTTAGGGGTATTATATAGTCTGATATTAACAGAAGTACACTGAACTAGAGCTGTAAAATATTTATAACTGATATACCAGAATATGGTGTAAGTCTGTTAGGTCAATGATGGTTTCTTCGATTGAAGCTAGCAACTACCGACTTCATATTGTTCTTCTACATTAGTTTGTTTATTAGATATATCACACAGTGAGTCAAATAATAATAATAATAATATTCACTGGGTAACGAAGCTTATAACACAATTTATTTGCTGTTCATAATCACCATAATCGCCAATTATAATCAAACGACTGCGAAACTAGAGATTTATGGTGTTCTTTGTTCCCTCCTACTTGTCGTCGTCATTGGGGTAGTTGAATTTTCCAGAGTCCCAGCTGGATACGTGTTAAATCATCTTTAATTACCGTGATAAATTAGTCAGAAAGTATGTAGGGAAATGTGAAAATAAAATAAATAATGATGGTAGTTATAGTGATAGTAATAACATTAGTAATACTAGTAATATTAATGACGACAAGCATGGCAAAAATGTACAGAATAGTGACAAAACCAACAATAGAGAATACAAACTGTCACTGGTATCTCCATAAAAAGAAGGAACCTCGAAAACCCTAAGGAGAATTCCTAACAAGGCATCCAGGAATAAAAGTGGCTGCTGGCATTCAAACCACCCAGCCACAAACTCAATTAGAAACAAGCTTTATCGGTTAAAGGATCAATCCTGACAGCGGAGCCAATTAAACAAAACAATTTAGTTTATCTAATACTCCCCTGCTGGAATGATTGTCAGATTAAGTACATAGGTCAAAGTAGTAGAACAGGTGCAGTTAGTATGATGTCATTTGACGAGCTGTGATCTAACAGGTATCTATCTCTTTGAAGTTTGAAATGATGAACGCTGAAATTTAATCTCAGTGAAAACACCACCACTCAACTGTGGTGCAGTTACATCCATAGGATGAAATGCGTGTCGTGGATTCCACCACTAGCCATCATCAAGTGAATAACATTGAGTTTTCTGGTTTCATGAAATTAAACTTTAATCCTCTCCAACGTCTTTATGGAAGTTGGTGTCTACTAATGAACCATAACTCATCATCATTAAGTCGAAGTCGTTTTCCGTTGTTTTTTTCTCTCAAGTAACTCAGTGAGAATGAAATAATATAACCTACAATAGGTAGTTCTTTCTCCATGAGTAGTAAAGTACCTAGTGAGGTGTGTACTATTGAAAACTACTATCAGTAGCACATATCAAACTAGCAAAAAAATGAAGATCAACTTAAATAAGTAGTTAGTTTCACACTGAAAACACTTTTGACACATACATGGTGTATGTAATAAGTTTACATGTAACATATTATTATCATTATGTTAATATTGTTCTGCTCTCATCGCATTTACAGCTGGAGGTGACAGATCTTCGTGAAATGCAATTAGCTTTTACTGAACAAATGGAAAGACAGGAACAATTCATTGAACGATTACAATCTGAACTGGCTAGTGAACGTGAAAAAACTGATTTTCTAAGCAAGATAAAGGCAGACAAAGAAAGAGAAATGCAAAATATGATGGTGCGGGAACTAGATGTTTTGTTCTTTTTCTCCTTCTTCTTGATTTGCCCTTTTTACTTGAGCTGGAATTACCACTGATAAGTTTTGTGTTCACTTTGTAACAGTGAGTCTTTAGTATATTTAATAAATTATTCATCATGGAATCTAGGCCAAAAAAGTCTGATATATTAACGTAAGGTATTCATGCAGTTGATTTCACTTCTCAATATTTTTAAGCTCAAAAAGCAATGGTGAAAGGAGGGGATTTCTAAATTATTAGATTTGATATTCATTTAAAGACACTTTACTTTTATCCTTTTTCTGATATTCTCAATTAATGCGTCCATTCTAATCGAAGTAATCCAATATTGAATGTAGGTGAAAAAAATCCAATTAATAAATAACTCATTTCGCTGGTGGAAGTCACGGGTGTGTACCGGTGAAGAGTCCCAAACGAAGATGAAACATCTATTCGGTGCTCCCAAGTTATTCAATTGTTCTCCGACAGTAGTCAGTTCGCAATCGGAATTTTAAATGTTAATTTTTAAAACCTGATAAGAACTTGAATTGAACTTTTGATTTTCCTGTCGATTGACTGGACCAAAGTGCTCGGTCTCAGGTTGACATGTCGGCTTGCTGTGCAGATGCTTCGACGATGTCTGGGCATTTAATTAGTATACAATTAGTGGATGGTGGCTAGCAGTAGAATCCAGGATGCGCATTTCGTCTCGTGGCCCAAGTAGTCTAGTGAATAACGCTTTGGCGTTTGAAACTATGGGCACTGGGTTTGAGCCTCGGTGGGAACATCATCACTCTCTGAGAAATGCAAGTACACCCAGATGACGAGTACCAAATAGGACGAAAGGCGCATCCTGGATTCCACTGCTAGCCACCATCCACCAATTGTATACTGAAGAACTTAGTTGAGCTTATGAAACCAATCGCCAAATACCCTCCAAACATCACTTAGTAGATGAAAGGTCATTGGTTGATTTTAGATATTCGAAAAAGTTGGGGGGTGTGATGACAGCTGTCTTTTAGCCAAAATTGGTAGACAGCAATTGGAGGTCATGAGAAAAACGAGAACAAAAACTTTGCGTGGGGGGGGATGCGATTCGCATATAAGTGGTATGATGACCCTCAAAGAAATGGCCACAAAGAGATGACAGATTAACTTTCAGCGAGAGAACAACCAATCAGAAAACGCTGTTTCTCTGCTAACAATAACGCTAACAATAATAATGTACATAAAAATATATGAATATCTTCAAGTATTGGTTTTGTAGGGATTTTGTTTGATTATATGGAGGATTTCACCATGAGCTGACATCAGTTAGAGAACCACTGGAAAACCTGGGAGCACTGGACAGTTGTTTCGTCCTAGTTTGGGTTCGCTAACTGATGTCAGCTCATGGTGAAATCCTCCATATAAATATCTGTTGAATTTCTCAATAAACGATATGTTACCTGCCCCTTGTCTTTTGTCGTTACAGGGGACTAGAACTCATGCGTTACGATGATAATAATGTTTTAGAGGACATAATCATATTCTGCAACTGGATAAATGAGTTCAGTTTCTGTAATATTTTAGTAAAAAACAACACTTAAAAATGTAAAGCATATTTTGCTAACTGCAAAGTACAAATCTGGTATATTTCCATCAGACACAAAATCTCATTAAGAAAAAGGTATATTCCCGCAGAACAGATGCATAAAATGACTACATTGGAGTCAGCTAGTGGATACGTTTATGAAGATAGAAAATTCGGGCCTGATTTATTCCGTTAGACTAAAAAAAGAATTACGCTTATAAAAGACACTTTCTCGTGTAAATGTGATACAGTCATACACAAAAAAAAACTACATACCACTGATTGATTGAGATGAGTAGTTGTGCACCATTCAAATCAATCAGTGTAGTGCTTGCTGGTCAGATCATCTAAGTGTTCTAAACACTGGGTTACAGTTTCACTCGTTTGAGGTCGAGGTCATCAGCAGTGCATCCAGTTTTTCATCTGTTGATGTAAGCGATATACGACTATTCATTTCAATTAGCCAGAAATGTACAGTTTTACACAATTATGTTTGCCTTCTGGATTACCATTTGTGGTATCAAGCCGATCATATATTTTATGAACTGAGTAATTTCAGTTTCGAAATGAACCTGTGGTGATACGTACGCCTTCATCAACCTGAAACCAGTTTCGAAATCTTCTGCATTGTAATCCGCCTCAGCATACGGAACAAGATTCAGATTCTGTTCAACACAAATGTGAAGTCAGTCCTTCTATACGCGTCAGAAACTTGATCAGAGTGTCACGAGAAGAAAATCCCAACAGACTTCATCAACAGCTGCCCCCTTCGCTGGCTGGCTGGGAAGAAACCAACCAAGAGCCAATCGCTCAACAAATGTGTAGGAGAAAATGGAGGTGGATCAGGTAAATGTTGAGGGAACCGTCGAATGACCTAGAGCGCAATGTAGGCCATCGCTCGAGTGGAATCCAAATAGGCAGAGATGAGTGGGTCGTCAGTGCGGGGGTTGGAAGAGGAGATGTGAGGTTGGACATGATGTGTCTAGCAATCCCATCGTGTAAAAATAAATGTCACTGCTACCGAAACTTTCAAGCTCTATCTTGAAGCCCAGTGTTCCACTAGGAATGTAAAGGAATGTTTGTTTAAATTGTTCCACCCATTGTACTCATTCTAGTCCATAGTTTTATCGATTGGTGAGACATTTTTAATGATCATTTCATTTATTATAATGTTCTCTTCACTGTTTCGATAATTTTTATTATTACCATTGAAAATTACAGAATGAAGTTGAGAATTTACACTGTCACAATAAAGAACTTTCGAGTCGTTTACAAGAACGGGAATCAGCATTAGATACTATGTCACGTGAACTAGAATTATTCTCCTCCCGACTGGATACAACGTCAAGAAATCTTACAGAAACTGAAGCTGAACTCATAGAAACTAGACAGAAATATGAATTATCTGAAGCTAGAGCAAATAAACAAAAAGACGAGGTTAGTAGCTTTCCTCTGGAATAACACTTTCATGCTCGTCAAAATGTAGACGCTGTGATACATAAAACCATAAGATATATATATATATATATATATATATATATATATATTATGATATCAGCTTCGTCGTTACATTATAGCGAAAACCTTTTATATTAGCTAATTGTCTCAGAAATACAGAATTTTAATAAACAAATCACTTTCATTATCAACTAACCCCTGACAAGAAAGAGAACGCAGGATGTGACAGGGTCACTGCAGGTATACACGTCTGACTATTTATTGTAATTACACCGACATAAACTCTCGGTTTTGTGTTCAGTGTCCAAATTTTTGGTAAGTTTCACTTTTTAGAGAAAAGAAAGTGATGCCCTTCATTAATCAATGAACCTTCAGACTACGTATTACAGCTAGCTATCCAGTTTATTCAAATGATTCGAACAGATCTAGCCATATTTATTTACTCTAAAGAAATGCAAAACTGTCCAAAGAGTTCTGAAGAAAGCTGTCTATATTAATTTGCCATTCAAAGGTGATGATGTACAAGAAGTAGTCAAGTGAAGACTTGATAAAGCTATCAAGAGAACTTATAATTCCGCAAAACTTGTCTTCCTTAACACCACCAGGCGTGTGCTTCAGCAAGAAATCTGGGAAAGACCAGTCGCCAATCCTCGACACTTCGAACTGCCGCGTATATCAATTTGAGTGTATTTGTGGAAGCATATACATAGGTCGTATGGAAAGGTGATTGTCTACTCACGTGATGGAGAATTTACCAATGTGGTTGAAAATAAGCTGAACGTAAGGTGCCGAAAAGCCAAATAACAAAACATCTTGTGGACTAAGGATATGATATTGATGCTGTCAAGTAATCGACTGTTGTGGGCGAGCAGATAAACGAAAAGGAAGATGCTTGCAATTGCGGAGGCTTGTCAATTCGAGTTTATCAATCAGGTTTCTGTGTACAGAAGCAAATAGTCATCAGAATGAATCTACTATGATAATATGTTTTACTTATTAACTGTTATTATTAATATTAATAACACTTTATTTTGCCTCTTATTATTATTATTATTCCTGATTTATTTAAAACCTCCTTTTATCCGTAGCATTATCTTACCTCGTTTCAGCCTCGTTACTATTAATATGAGTATAAAACTTGGGCACTGTGGTAGAGTGTAACTCCATTATAGATAAGATTTTATTTTGATAAACTGTCTCACAGTGTAGTTTTATACAGTAATATTAACTGATGACCACAAGTTTCAAGCACAAACTATTGCCACTCATAATCATATCAAGTCACTCACCCACTCACTCACTCACACAACTTTCTTGTTTCCTTCATTTATATACATGTGTGGAATTGATGATTAGATATGTGAATACAAATCAGTAATATAGGAGACAATGTTCATTCAGAAATAATAATAATAATAATCAGTGTTATTCATCAAATACAATCAGATGGGAAATTAGACGAGTGTTTTTATAGTTAAAATAAATAACTTGTTAGAATGTTGTGATGTACGTGAACTGAATTGAAATAGAATACAATTTAAGATTATTTATTATCCTCCTCTGATTTCACTGACTGACTGATTGACTGACTGAATCACTGATGGTAATAATATCTTCCATATCTCTGGTATTTGCATTGAGTCATTTCGATTGTGCATGTGTTGGGTGTAGACTGGATGAACCAGGCAGGATTCAGTAATCAACCTCTCTCTCTCTCTCTCCACCTACCTAGATTACTTCTTAGAATTTTAACCCTCTCCCACCATGCTATTTTGTGATTGTGTGTTAATGCATGCATGCAGTGCAATGTAGTGCTGAGCTTTTTTCCAAATTACTCATCTTCTCGGGGTCAACCATTCTTACCTTAGCTAAATTCTTATGTTCCGACAATCTGATTACCCCCGATCTACTAGTTTGTCCTGTGTATGTAGTTGACCTAACTCACAGTCAGTGTAAGGTATTTTGTAAATTATATTATTTTGTGTAATTGGGTCAACCGACAGGGTCCTTTAACCTACAGAGCTTGTCCTATCTGAGTGAGTTTTTAGGTTTGAATGCCACCAGCCTAATTCCTGCTTTATTAAGAATCCTACGTAGGGAGGGTTTCAGATGTCCCCTCCCTCCTTATATGGTATAACAGTTGATGACTTATATTCTCTCTTATTTATGTTATCATTGCGAGTTTCACAATTATTTTTATCTTGCTTTTGGCCTTTTTCAATCTTCCTAATAAATTTTATAGGGTAGTTAGCTATTTGATAGCAACGCTTCTTCTACTTGTTTCATTTCATCATTCAGGTCTTTTCTTGTACTACTTAGTGCTGCTGCTCGGTTTGTTAGACACTTAACTTAACTAGGTCTGCCTTCACAGACAGTTGACGGATGAGATGAATTAAAGTCTAAATATCTATTAGTAGAATGCGTCGGTTTTTTATAAACGCTAGTGCGTAGTTTACCTTCTTCTATTCATTTTATTTTAAAATCTAACATACTTGTGTCAGTGACTTGATATGATTATGAGCAGTGATAAATTTTGCTCGAAACGTGGTCATCGGTTAATATGGCTGTATAACACTGTGTGATCTATCAAAATAAAATATTATTTATAATGTAGTTATTACTATCAGTACTTTTCAGTTCTGATTGCTTGATATATTTAAGTTCTTCCCTTGATAACTAATTGTTCAGTTAAGTGGTGTAATTGAAGTATAATGTATTTTATCTTAATTTTAATCTCTTATACACCCTTAGCCTTCTCTTTTTGAACATGACCTGAATAACACTCAAATATGTCGTTTTGAATAATTCGATTCAATGTAGTTTATGTCCCAATGTATTTCCGATATTATATGTACATATCAAGGCAAGGATCGGGAAAGCAAGAAAAGCCTGCATTACCCTTCAGTCTGTGTGGAGGTCAACATCACTCACCATCAAAAATAAGATCCCGATTTTCAACTCCAATGTGAAGCCAGTCAGTGCTACTACTATACGGATCAGAGATTTGCACTGTGCGTCATGAAGAGCATCTCAAACAAACTTCAAACCTTCATTAACAGTCATCTTCACTCAATACCACTCAAGATCAGATGGCTGGCCAGAAAAGATCAGGAACAGGGAGGGATCTCTGTCAATCAGCGAACCAACCAACACAGCAGGAACCGACTGTGAAACAAATAGGCAGGAAGAAATGGAGATGGATTGGATGACCATACGCTGAGGAAACCATCAAGTGAGTGACATCACTAGACAAGCCATTTCTCGAGTGGAACCAGGCCGAAAGGGAAGCGGGTGGCGAGTTGGTCGTGAGTGCATGGGTGAGGGTGACTTGGAGAAGGTTATGTGAAGAGGAGATGAAAGCATGTGGGCAGACTTGGAGCGGAGTGAAAAAGTTGTCAGAAATCAGAAGGCAATGGAGACTTGGGCGGCTGAAGCCATATGTTCCTCTAGGCATTAAAGGAAATAATAATACGTGTAGAATACGCGGAAGAGTTCCACCGAAATTTGATGAATTTATTAAATCCTGCTTTATTAACCTTTGTTGCTGGTTTTAAATACGCATGAGGAAATAAATGTTTCCAGTATTTATAGACACCTGACAGCGATTTACACATCTATTCATGTTAAAATTTATTAGTGTTTTTCATAATCATTTTCGTCCTAGCCAGAATTTTCTTGTTTAATTCAAGGAACCGTTTATTCCACTCGATCATTTCAGCTTAAACAATGTGAGATCACCTTATCAAGTCTTGAATCTCGACTTCTTGAAAGAGAAAGTCAACTGACAAAATGTGTTGGACAGTACAGCCAATACAATTCAGTTGACCGTGTTCAATGCTCACAGCTAACAGATTTAGTCAAAGATCTTAAACAACAAATCACAGAGCATAAGAAAATGAATATGATTTCAAAAGTAAGTCTTAAAATCATCGAATTAGCATAACACATTTTTACAAAGTTTACGGAGAAGTTATCAAAAGAAACGATGCGTTAACCAATTTTTGTATGTTACAATAAGCTAATTCAGGGTACAATTCAACGACTAATCAAAGTGCAGATAAGGAATTCTCCCGTGTTATGTCTTATGTTTTGATTAACCATGATTTTAGGGACATTCATGCGGTCAATATCTTCTTGTCATTTTTATGATTTCTCTCTTATAAATATTCACTGTTTTACATTTCACAAATTAGATGGACACGAATTTTGGGTATATCCTTTTTTTTCTTTGTTTCACTGAAGAAGTTTAATAGTTTGATGGGCAGATAAGATCCGTTCCTAAGCAATTCAAATACACGAGTAACTGAATATATCCATAATCTAGTATATACATAATCCTATATGTATTTTTATGCTTTATCTATATATCTATCTTATAAAGTCAGACAAAAAGTAATACATGTATTATTATATCCTTTAGTTCCTAGAGGAACATATGGCTTCAGCCGCCCAAGTCTCCATTGCCTTCTGTTTTCTGACAACATTTTCACTCCGCTCCAAGTCTGCCCACATGCTTTCATCTCCTCTTCACATAACCTTCTCCAAGTCACCCTCACCCATGCACTCACGACCAACTCGCCACCCGCTTCCCTTTCGGCCTGGTTCCACTCGAGAAATGGCTTGTCTAGTGATGTCACTCACTTGATGGTTTCCTCAGCGTATGGCCATCCAATCCATCTCCATTTCTTCCTGCCTATTTGTTTCACAGTCGGTTCCTGCTGTGTTGGTTGGTTCGCTGATTGACAGAGATCCCTCCCTGTTCCTGATCTTTTCTGGCCAGCCATCTGATCTTGAGTGGTATTGAGTGAAGATGACTGTTAATGAAGGTTTGAAGTTTGTTGGAGATGCTCTTCATGACGCACAGTGCAAGTCTCTGATCCGTATAGTAGTAGCACTGACTGGCTTCACATTGGAGTTGAAAATCGGGATCTTATTTTTGATGGTGAGTGATGTTGACCTCCACACAGACTGAAGGGTAA